AGCCACGACCCAGGTCTCCCCCACGGTGGCAAGCACACAGGTGCCTCGGCCGCCAGTGCCGGGTCACACAGCAGCAGGCCACTGGAGGACACGGACCCAGCACTCCGCTGGGGGTGCAGGAGCCCTGAGTGGTAGACACACTTATTGCCACATCAGTAGACTGCGGTTCCAGAAGGAGAAGACAGAGAATGCGGGGACTAGCGAAAGCTACAAAGCCACAGACTTAAGGCCTCCGAAGATCCCCAAGCCTACACGAGAACTCCACCCCAGGGAGCGCCTGAAGGGACAGCCGGCTCACAAACAACTTCGCAACACAAAAAAGTCAGTCTGAGAAACAGACAGCTTGAAAATGCTGCCAAAAAAACAACGGGTCCAGAAGAGCCTTCAGGGATGGAGCAGCAGTCGTAAGCCTGGGCTGGGGTGATGCTGAGTGACCAGGCTGGCACAGGCAGAGGGGGCAGGGCATCCCTGTGTTAGCATCCGGGCAAGGTGTCACCTGGACGTGGCGCGGGGGGTGGAGCTTACTTGCATATGCAAAGACTCAGAGGTTGGGCGGGGCCAGTGCACAGCGTCTCTTAAGCGCTTTAGGACAGGAAGTGTCATTCACTTGCCAACAGCTGCAGGACCACAGAAGGTGTGACGGCCAGGTCACGGTCATCTTACCGTCACACTCAGCAGTCATCAGCCCGCATCCAGGCTGTGTCCTGTTGTGAGCCCGCTGCCAGGAAAAGAGGGGGTGGGCAGTTTGGGAGGTGCAGGCGGGGCTGCAGGCAGGGCTGGCAACCTGGGGTCCTCTTTGCCCCCCACCACCTCACTGTCTACCTCAGTTGCACAACCCAGACTCTAGTTCAAGGATGGCAGGTGTCTGCCCTCAGTGGTCAACAGAAAATGGCACGTGGAAGCCACAGTGGGACACGCGAAACCAAATGTTGACAGAGCAGGCCAGAAAGCAACCAGAACCCTCACACACTTGCTCACTGCAGCATAAACGGCACAACTTTGAAAACTTGGAATGTTTATCTTCAGCCTCTGAGAATTCTACTGGGAGATACAGACCCAGAGGAGAGAGAGAGAGAGAGAGAGAGAGAGAGAGAGAGAGAGAACCAGGATCCTAGCAACAGGCAAAAGCTCCGCCGACGCCAGTGGCTTCCTTCACGCATGGATACGCTGTGATAAACCCGGACCCCGAAGCACGGTCTGCAGCGGGGAGCGCAGGCGCTGCAGCTGCACCGGGAGACGAGCTCAGAGGGCAGCCGGCGCACACCTGGCCGGCCACGAGCGCGGCCCCCGTCCACGCCCAGGCCCCTCAGCCCGGACCTCGCGCACGCCCGGGCCCCGCAGCCGGCGCACACCTGGCCGGCCACGAGCGCGGCCCCCGTCCACGCCCGGGCCTCGCGCACGCCCAGGCCCCGCCCCGCGCACTCCCGGGCCCCGCAGCCCCCGCGCACGCCCAGGCCCCGCGCACCCCCGGACCTTGCGCCCAGGCCCCGCAGCCCCCCGCGCACCCCGGGACCTTGCGCCCAGGCCCCGCAGCCCCCCGCGCACGCCCAGGCCCCGCGCACGCCCGGGCCTCGCGCCCAGGCCCCGACTCACCTCATGGTCGCTGCCGGGGCGGGCGCTAGCGGGGGAGCCGGCCCGGATCACGGCGGCTCCGCGTCTGGCTGGGCTGCGGGCAGCGGCAGCGCGGGCTCATCTTCTCGGGGCGGGCGTCGGGGGGCCGCTAGCTGCGGGGAAGCGCTGCGGCGGCGGCGGCGGACCGCCGGGCCCCGAACCCTGCCATCTTGGCGGGCGCGCGTGCCCGGGCCGGCGGGAGCGCGCGCCCGGTCGTCCGCCGGCGGGGGCGGGGAGCAGCCCGCCGGGGGTCCGCGGGGGCGCGTGCGCGCGTGGGGCCGCCGGGGAGTCGGGGCGCGGCTCGCACCGAGGCCTGGGGTGCACGTGCGGCCGGGCGCCCCTCGGCCCGCGTCTCTGCGCCCGCGGCCGCCGGGGCCCAGGGGCGCGCGCGGCGATCGGTGCCAGACACAAAAGGCGCGGGGTCCCCGCGGCCCGCGCGGCGAGGAGGGCGGGGCCGGCGGCGAGGGGCGGGCCCGGGGCGGGGCCAGAGACAGGATCCCTGCGGTCCGGGCGGCGGGGAGGGCGGGGCCGGCGGCGAGGGGCGGGGCCAGAGGCAGGGCCCCTGCGGTCCGGGAGGCGAGGGGCGGGTCCGGGGCGGGGCCAGAGGCAGGATCCCTGCGGTCAGGGCGGCGGGGAGGGCGGGGCCGGCGGCGAGGGGCGGGCCCGGGGCGGGGCCAGAGACAGAAGCCCAGACAACTAGCCCATGTTCCTCCTTGGGGCAGCCCAGGCAGCAGCCCTGGAGAGGCCTCACTGTGGTTTGAACTTGATCTCCAGTGTGTCACCATTCCAGGGACCCCTCCCTGGGAGGTGCCTGGGTCCTGGAAAAGATTGGTGCTGATTGCACAGAGCTCAAGTTCTGTCCCTCACAGCCCTCATGTGTACACCTCTCTTGGCCTGCTTGCTGCCAGGGAGGGGGTGGTGCAGCTGGAAGTCCCTCACCAGCTCGGGGTGGGGGTGGGGCGGCCTTGGGCTTCTCAGCCTCCAGACAGCAACATCAAAGAGATTAAAAAGCCAGCTGGACTCCCTGGCAGTGCCCTTGTGCGGGAGACACGGCCCCGGGGGAGGGGCAGAGTGTTGTAGAAGGCCCACCCAGTTTGCCTCTGTGGGAGTCGGGGATGCCCCTCCTTCCTGGCCAGTCAGCAGGGGCACCCAGCCTGCCATTCACAGCTCGCAGCTATCTTGGCCAGCTAGGTCTCCACAGGAGCCCAGGGAGCTGGCACCTACAACAGGGCTGGGGTCTGGGCCTGTCTTCATGAGCAGACATATCACGGAGGCTGGGGGCTTTGGCTTGGTGTCCTGCCTGCCCTGCAGGGTGCCCTCTTCTGCCACGCTCAACAATCAGAAAGGCTCAGGACGTGAGGGGGAGGAACACGGGGCTGCAAGAGGAATCTGGAGCTCGCACAGCCACCTGAGGACACAGAGAAAACAGACTGAATCCCATCGAACTGGCGGAAGATGCCCCCGATTCACCTGTAAATGCAGCATGTCAAGGTCCAAAATCCCAGCTACTGTTCTGGCAGAAATTAGCTGGTGGCTCCTAAACATTTAGGGTGTAGAAACTTTAACATCTATGGCTAGATTTTTCATAGAACTAGTCTTCATGGACTTTGTGAAGATGTCTCCTGCGCAGGTGTGTGTTCAAATTGCTGTTGCTGTCCTTGGTAAGATGTTAGCTAACATTCATGGAAGAACACTACGAACTGAAATGGCTGAATTTCCATGCAGGGTGTCGAGAGGTAGCCACATACATGAACACTCCACACAGAGGAAAAGAGCTCATGGACTCATCCGTCAGTAGCAAGTCTCTTTCCCTTCCTGGTCTTGTTTTTCCCTCAATTCGTAATTTAAAAATGATTGTTTCAGGCACTTTTTAAGCAGCCAAGCCCACTCATAATGCCTGGCCAGTGAGCCAAACTTTGTCCAGCTAAGTCATCTTTTGAATGCTCCCCTATCATAAGCAAATTAGACTTGCTTTGCAAAAAGATCCAGGTGTGAAAAAAAAAAGTCCTGTAAAGGAAACAGAGTAAAGTGTGACTCGTGTACTTTTAAATAGTTTAATTTATATACTCTCGTGAATATAGGTCCATAAGAAATGCATTTTGCAGATTTTCATTACAGCACATATTGTATAACGATGTACACCAACAGCTCCCGCGTCAACGCGCCTCATCTCCAGGGGCCCCGCGCTTCTGCAGCCCACAGGAGGTGGCGGGGGTCTGACATCAGCTGCTAAGCTGCCATGGCCGCAGAGTTCGGACAGTCCACCGCACGGACTGCCTAGAGTGAGCAAACGTCTTCACGTGTGTTCTTGAACTGTTACTCTGCTACTTACAAGCCCAAGATACGCTCTCCAACGTAAACAATACATCTAAATCTGTCACAGCGTGGGAAAGGCCATTGGCCAGCTGAAGCCCGACGTTTGCTCCCGGGCGCACAGCCTTGCTCAATGCTGTAAGGGGCCATCCACGCCATGGACGGGGCGGGCAGTTGTCCTGAGTCCATGGCGGAGGCGGCCGAGACCGTTCTGACTCAGCCTGTTGGTTGTAAGATACAACGTCCAGTGCTTGCTGCGTGCAGTGGCGATGCCTGGCCCTATGCGTTTATTATGAATTGCTAAGATCCTATACAAGCACAATACCATAGCATGCCCGTGAATAAACACAAGGAAGTGGCCAAGTGGCTCATGGCTCTGTCCAGCACATGATCAGCAAGCGGCGGAGAGGCCAAAGGCAAGACGCTGGCTGTGTGTGTGGAGGCTGAAGCTCCAAGACGCCCCCACCTGCTACAGTGCTGGCGCTAACCGGGAGTAGCATCTACCCAGCTATGACCCCTTACCCGCCAGTCTCCCAAGGAGAGGATTTAAGAAGCCTTTGAAAAAAAAAATTAGCCAGAGGAAGTCTCTTATTTGTATTTCCTGATTCAGCTGTGCAAATCAGCAATTCTGTGTCTTGAGTGATAGATCCTCCATGGTGCTCACCGGGCAGTACCTCATCATCATTATCATAAATACTGGACCTTGGAAGCTAGGTGGTACAATAGGAAAGAGTATATACAATGTTTTGAAGGCATTCTGTGACCATTTTTGAAGAGTTCATAGAAAAGTTCCCAAGGATACACCAGTTCCTCCTGTTGATGTCACCACAACGCACTGGAACCGTTCCCACGTCCGACACGCACCTGCTTCACAGCGGGGACTAGAACAGCGCAACAGCTCGGCTGCTCCGATGCCATGCACACTCCCTAGGCTAAGGTAACTGGCAGAGGGCATGGCTTTCCTGAGGTTTGTAAGATTATTTCTTTTTAAACAAAACAGAAATCACAGTGACCAAGTACAACGTGGGTCCGTGCCTTCTGGGACAAGCTCCGTGGCCCTCGTCCGTGCACAGGGACTAGATGACCCGCCACTGCATGATGCTCGTGTCCTTTCCACCCGTGGAGATGAGGTGGCTGTCTTCGCAGAGGAAATCCACGTTGGTGACATGGCTGCTGTGCCCGCTGTATATGTGGCTTGGAGCCTAAAGAATGACAGGCGGGGGGAGCTTACTGCACTGCCAGCTGTGAGGAGTCGCAGAGCAGGTGCGCTTTTAACCCTTCTGGGTACACCACAGCTCCCAGCTGTGCACCTGCTCTGTGCACAGGGTACAGAGGATCGCATTGCCTGGCGGGGTGAGGGGCGGGGATCTGCTCTCAGACTGGGTATGCTCAGTACTGGAGGACTGTGCCAGGCTCAGGGTGGCCCAAGGATGGCTCTAACCAGGGGCTGGGGACTGGCAGTCCAGGGGAGGGAGGTTGTGTTACAGGCCCAGAGGTGGGCCTGCAGCACAGAGCAAAGGAGAGAGGCCCTAGGAGCTACCGAGGAACACAGGCCAGACCCAGCAGGTCAAGCCAGGCGAGGGGTTTCCCGAAGGCAGGGGGAGGCCCACGAGAGCTGAAATCATGGGTACTGGGGTCACGTGGGTGCTTGCAGCTGGCATATTCACTCATGACCAGTCCCCAAGGACCTAGTCTGGGTAGGGCTCAGTCTGGGGGAGAAGGCAGGTCTGTTACCCTGAACTGTGAGCAGGGGTAGGAGAAGAGATGCACTTTGCCAAAGTCATCGCCCGTTGCCAGCAGGTTTTTCTCGCGTGCCCGGCAGACGGCGTTGATGTCGGTTCCATCTGAGCCTTCTGGCCACACTCCTGCAACAGAGACCATGGACACCACTGGACGTGCCGCAAGCTCCAGCCGCGAAAACCAATGACCTGAAGTTCCAGACTTCAGAAGCGGGCCCAAAGAAAGCTGTTGGCCTTGGCCACTTCACCCACCCTTGCAGCCATTCTTGGTAAGTCAACCCTTGCTCAGCAAAAGAACGGTGGCCACAGCTCTCTGGGCTGTCTTCTTCCTTGGGGGCCCCTTTGTCTGCTCCAGCCCAGTGTGTAGGAGGCCCTGGTCATGAACTTGGAGCCTCCACCTGTCCCTGGAGCATCTGGGGGGTCGCTCCCAGAACCCCAGGCCACCCATCTCCTAATGTGTGTTTCTTTTTGTTTGTTTTTGGTAACTCATTACATGTCAGAGCTCTTCTAAAGGACTTGTTCACCAGGGGTTGCCTGAAGCTGCTGCCACCACTGGCTATGACACCTGCTCCTGGCAGTCTCTGTGATGCTGTGTCCAGGGTGGCCTAGAGTGCTGGCTGGGCAGTGGAGGGCTGGCTCTGTGGCTGCAGGAAAGCCACTGGCCCCAGCTTTGGCTGAGAGTGAGTGGAGGGCACAGCAGGTGCTCTACTGGCCACCCTGGGACAGAGTTGGGGGGGTCTCACATAGCACAAATGGCAACAGGGACGACCTGGATCCATGAGGACCTGTGAGCTGGCACCAGTTGAAGGATACGTGGCCTCCCACACAGAAATTCCACACTCTGCCTTCTCTTTTGGTTCCACTAAAGTCTGCTTTCATTGGAAGCCAGTTATGAGTAGATTCCTTGGCTGAACTTGAAAAGAAGTGAAATATCTCATGGAGGGGCCAGACAGTTCTAAGACGCTGACAAGCTCTGTAAGGGGCCGAGCACATCTGACCCATCGAGATCATGCTGGCCGAGCTGAGGACTTCTCTCAAGGCCCATCTGTGCACGGAAAGGGAGCCGGAGCCAGCTCTGTCCTAGGCAGGCCACTAGGCGCGCCTGGCTCTGCCTGAGAAGCATGGGGGACACTTTGTGGGGCTTCCACGGGGATTGACCAGGGTGGTGCCCCAAGAGCAGGTGCTCACAGTGCTGAGCAGCACTGCTGGCAAGGGGCCTACCGAACACGTGGAAGCCCAGGGTGCAGGTATACGTGGCCCACTCGATGTCCCTCGTGGTCTCCACACTGACGACTTGCTTGCAAGCAGAGGGGACCCCTGGTGAAGGCAAACAGGCTAGTGACCTCAAAATGCACGCACGCCCCAGCACTCCCCACAATGTTTCCCAACTGAGCTCCTACTGGTGGAGGCAAGACTGTGGGAAGATTCTAGAGATGTCCCTGAAAACCATCACTCTTGGAGAGGTGGACGAGGGAAGGAGGCCCCCTTCCTCCCTGGTACCTGCAATTCTGCCCCTCCCATCCCATATGCGTGACCTCCCTGCCCACTGGCAGGGACCTGGGGCCTGTGTCTGAGAGTCCACTTCCAACTCCCATATCTGAAAGGCACCTGAAGGAGCCAGGCACGGTGGGGAGGTTTGGGGAAGGCTCTGCAGGACCCTCCGAGGACGGAGAGGGGCCTCGAGCTGGCGCTGGTGGCGCAACAGGTTGGGGGCATGGCGGCTACTTACAGTAGAGGATTTCATAGTCTCCGGAGTTGGACACAAGGAACTGGGAGTTGACTGACCAGTCCAGGTGCGTGATGAAGCTGGAGTGACCCTGAAGAGCAAAGCCAGGTGAGTGACCACGCCCCTGTGGGGAGGTAGGCTGGGCTGGGAGGCGAGTGGACACTCACCGAGCACTTGCCGAGACGGGTGTACTTCCGGCCGTTGTCGCTCACTCCGTAGATGTAGATGCAGTTGTCGTGGGAGCCGATGGCCAGGAAGTTTCCGTCTGTAAAAGCATGCAGCAGCATTTCACATTACTCCTTTTGGGGTGTGGGTGGGGGAGGGCGCTGGTGGTCCCCATCCACCTTTCAGACAACACAACCAGGATTCCAAATGACCTCCAGAGGTCACTCTGCTTCCAGGGAAGTCCTACGCCCCTTCCAAAGCCATCTTCTAGAAATGCTTCTGACCAGAGCATAACCTTGGGCAATTCACAGACTCTGTACAACCATGGCATCTCAGAGAACCTGTGCTTGGGCACTCCCGTGCCCACCACTGAAGAGTGGGTGAGCCTCAGTAGCCCCAGGTTCCTCCCACTCAGTCCCAATGTGCTGCCACTTGACGTCCACTTCTGTGGGGCCCCGGGCAGGCCTGAAGAACCAGGCTGTGTGCCAGCACAGGGAAGGGACTCGCAGGGGCAGGAGAGCAGGGCCAGAGCCCAAAGCTATGAAGGAGCTCCCACCACAGGCAGCAGATGGGGGAGCAGTCCAGGCCCATCGGAAAGGACACCGGGTGGCCAGGTGGCAGACTTCTATCCCTGCCACGCAGCACTGAGAGGTCTGGGAGACAGAGTGCCTAGGGTTACTGCTGAGAGCAGAGCTCTCCTCAGTGGCATCAGCTCCCTGTGGGCCGCCTGGGTCAGCTGGCGACCCCGCCACACCATCACCAGAGCCCTTGGCCACTCGCAGTGACCCTCCCCATGGACAGCCACTTCCTGCCACAACAACTACCCAGGAAGTCAGCCAAGAACGTGGGCTTTTAAGGTCAGGCAGTTTCAGTCCAAATCCAGACCCTTCCACCTGTATTCACGCATGCAGTCCCCAGACGGCTCTGCTGACCAAACTTCAACTTTCTGAGGCTGTGCATGGCATCGGCACAAGCTGTGCTGCCTGTTTCCAGTGGCCCCTGGGACTGGCAGCTGACAGCTCAGACCGGCACGCACGGGGGACAGCCCAGGGAGTGTGACACCACGTGGCAGGGGCAGGAGGCAGGCTGGTGGGCAGGATGTGATGCCAGCATTCACACGAGTGGGCACCAGGGTCTGCTTCATTGTGGTCTGCACAGAAAACATCCAGATCTCCAACTGTGACGTGGATGAGAGAATGATCAGACGTCAGGGCCCAGCCTGCTGCCCTGGCCCACAGGTCTCTCCTTTCCCGTGTGGAGCCTTATCCTAGTCTCTTGGGCATTTTTTTTTAAAGCTGGATTTCATGAATATGAAACTATCTTCTTCTATTTCTTCTTCTTTTTCATATTTACTTATCTTAAAGGAAGATTTTACAGACAGAAAAAAGAGAAAGGGGGGCGGGTAGAGAGAGAGAGGTCTTCCAATGCTGGTTCACTCTCCAAGTAGCCACAGTCATCAAAGCTGAGCTGCTCTGAAGCCAGGAGCCAGGCGCCTCCTCCAGATCTCCCACACGGGTATAAGAACCCAAGGCTTTGAGCCATCCTCCACTGCTTTCCCAGGCCACAAGCACACAAGCAGGGTGCTGGACGGGAAGTGGAACAGCTGGGACATAAATCGATGCCCATATGGAATGCTGGTGCCACAAGGTGAAAGATTAGCCTGTTGACCCACTGTGCCTGCCTTTTATTTCTTTTCTGAAAAAGCCATACAATTTTAAATTAGCAAAAATTGTGTTTGGTCCAACCACAAAGGGCTCTAGCAGTTTCTTGATGGCTGTGGTAAGTAGAATCAGCACTGCCACACTCTTGTGTTCGATGAACCTGCAAGGGGTTGGTGTTTTGCCAACAGTCATAATTGACTGTGGTTTCAATAAAAACCCACAGAACAGTAGCTGGCGAGCATAAGACGCTCTGATGTAACACATTTCATAAGTAAAAAAAAATGCTAATAAAACACAGCTGATGGATACCAGATGGCCTCAGACTCTAAGCTGCCAGGATCCCCACTCAGGTGATGCCACCGCACACCCCCTGGTCCATGCTAGGCATGCATCCAATTCTGTGACTCTAAGAAGTGACAGAGTGTGGTTCTGAAGCTTGTTGTGGAAGTTAAGTCAAACAAGGGTACTAGGTAAACCACCGTGCATCAGGTAGAGCTCAACAGCGCTATCAGAAACGAATCCCCACACTTCTGAGATGCAGACAACAGCATCAGCAGGTGAAAGACTGCGCCTCTGGGACGCAGCACGGGGCTGGCCTGTGGCTCGTCCTCCCTGCACTGGAGAGATGAGTCCGGGTGGGCTTCAGCACAGCACAGGAGGGGACACGGGCTGGCCAGTGGCTCGTCCTGGCTGCATTGGGAAGATGAGTCCGGGGTGGGCTTCATTATGCTCATTCTTTCTACATGTGGAATTTTCCAGAATGCACATTTAAAAACCACCTGAGCAGAGTGACCCCAGGGAGGAGAACCCCCAGCACTAAACCTCACTCCAGGGAGGCTTGTAATGGTTCCTGTAAAGCACTGCACATCCTGGGAGCGTGCATGCCCAAGAGATGTGGTGGGAATTCTAACCTGGTGAGTAACGCATGACAGACAGCTGCTCGTTCCCATCCGTGTGCACGGTCACCAGGTCCTTGGTTTCTGTATCAAGCACAAACCACCTGTGCAAAGGTGACAAGAGCAGTCAGGCTCTTGCAGGGAAGGCAGGCAGTCACATGGCACTGTGTCAGCTGGTGGGACGTCTCTTCCAGCAGAACACCACAGAGCTCTCCCCACCTCCCCACCTCTCCCCACCTCCCCACCACACGGCCACAGGAGGGGAAAGCCTGGGCCAGTTCCAGAGACACTGTGGCCTCAGACCCACCTCCTTCCGCCTCCTCTGCTGTCCCAGTGGAAATGACACAATTTGGGGGGAGAAGGGATGGGAGGGGAGCTGGCATCCTGGTGGCACGCTGTCGTCAGGGGAGGGAGTGGCCCTGCTTTCTGCATAGCTTCGCTTCCTGCAGTGTCAGACACCGGCAGGCAGCCACGCCCTAAGTTCCACAGCAAGCAGTTCCCGGTTTTGAATCACATGTTCTGTCTCCACCATCCGCCTCTCTCCCTCTGCTCAGGCAGGCACTGTGTCATCTTGTGTCACACACGGAGGAGGGTGAGGACAGTGCAGTGAGGCCTTGGGAGAGGCTGCCCCCACAGCACCTTTACACAGTGCAGGGTTAGGGTTGTTCCATGCTATTAATAGCTTTTGCTAATCTCCTTCCATGCCTAGCTGACAAGTTAACCTTCATCACAGGTGTGCATGTATGGGCAGGAACATGGGGTACAATGGACTCAGGCATTCACCAGGGTCCTCGGGATGTACCCCCTCAAGATAAGTGGGGTGCTGCTGCACCACAACAGCCTCAACATAAAGTCTGATCAAAAAGGGCATGGCAGTGGGTGAGAATGCCTCCGCCGTTGCCCACCAGGCAGCCCTCCTCCAAGCTTCACGCCATGTGGCCAGGCCAATGCTCTATAATATCAACGTGTAGCACAGTGACCCCAGAGGATGTGTGTCCCTGGCTCAGGACACACAGCGGCCGCGGGGGAAGCTGGGATGCAGACGGGGCTCTCCTGCCTGGTATGCTGCAGGTGCTCTCAGAGTGGATCTCAGCAAGTGGCAGCCTTGGGCTGGGGGCGGGCAGGCAGTAGTGAAGGGAAACTGGGTGCAGCCCTGCTCAGTTCAAGATCAGCATGCTGGCAGAGTTGTGCGTGCGTGCGTTTGTGTGTGTGCGTGTGTGTGTGCGTGCGTGTGTGTGTGTGCGTGTGTGTGTGTGTGTGTGTGCGTGTTGGGGGGATTACTTTCATAGAATGGTCTACAGCATTGCTTGGGTTTTTCTCAGTATTCAGAATGGCAAGGACCACTGCTTTATGTTTATTCCTTGAGTCATTTATTCTTCTAAGTCACTAGAGGCTGTGCCTGTCCCCAGAGAAACCCAACCCAAGCAAGGCCTCTTGCCCAGGGTGCTGCGTGAGCACCTGCCAGGGCAGGACTTACCTCCCAGTCAGCGTTCCAACGGCAACCACAGACCCTGAAGGATGAAAACCAGAAGACTGAGCTGGATCCTAAAATGTTGTAAAGGAAGTGTAAATTGATGGCCAGATCCAAACTGAAGCAAAAACACACATACACACACACACCAGCTCTGACTCCTCAGGGCGACCGGCTGTTTGCAAAATCTCTTTCCTCTCCACGCTTTCCTACATGTTGTGTTTCAAAAATACTCAAGTTTCTTTTTAAGAGGTTTTCTCTTACATCCTTGCCTACCTGCCATAAGCAGCTGCGAGACCAACAGAAGGCTCTAGTTCCAAGCTGGGGTTCACACAATCCAGCCCTGGCACTGACTCACATAAGCGTGTCTGCTGTGTTCGGAAATAAGATCCCCACATCAGCACGGGATGTAGACATAGGGGATTTGTTGCAAGTCCTGGGAGCACAGATTCCGACACACACCGGAGGTGACACACAAAAGCACGAGGAGCCCCGGGTCAGGCTCTTCCCAGTGCAGAGCCCTGTTGATGGTGGCATGGGTGGCAGGTTTGTGGCTCACAGGTTACAGGACCCTCCAATGGAATCAGAGGGCAGGCTGCAGCCCAGCTGAGTGCACGGAGCAAGGCGCCAGGACTATGGCTTCATACCAGGGAGTGTATGGACAGCAAACGGGGCCGGTGGGTGCCGCACTGGCGCTCGAGGTGTGACCGCTGGGAGGGAGAGCCAGGGAGGCCTCTCCTATCAAGAAGGCGAGCTGGTGGGATCTGTGTTTTCCATGGAGCTCACTCAGTGCAGTAATTTGGAATGGACTGGAGCACGAGGAGACTGGGTACAACAAGACCCATGGCAGAATGGAACAGGAGACATGGGGGCTAAGTGCAGGAGGGCCAGGCACTGATGCCAGTGGGGCTGTCCTCCCAGCCACTGGCACCCTGCTGGGCTTGCTGGCTACGGTCACTTCTGCCACACACCCTGCATATTCCCTGGTCCCATTGATCTCTGGCACTCGCTGGGTGACAGGCATGACACAAACTCTCTTTGTGGTACCGTGCCCTATATCAAGACCTACACAACAACATTCTTTGAGGCCGTACCAGCTGGCTGGCCCCAGTGGCCCCTGTGGAAGCAGAGGAAATACAATGCACACCTGGGGGTGGGAGGTGGGGGCAAGGGCAGCTGGCAGCAGCCGGCTTTGTGGGGTGCTATTTCCTCCAAGGGGGCTGTTGGGACCACATGCACATGTAAGGCAGGGTACAGCGCACAGCCTGTCACCATCTGGGGAACCCTGCCATGCCGTTCAGCTTCTCTAAGCCTCATCTTCCTGATCAGTGAGACGGGAGGTGTTGTAGCCCTGCTCCAGGCTGCTGAGCTAACATGCAGAGAAGTGCGGCTGTCTGTATGTGGTGTGGGAACAGCCCAGCACTCTAAGGGCACTGGGCGCCACTCTCATACTAATGCTGCCCACTGTGGCCTGCATCACACACAGCCTCTCCATCCTCACTGGGAAGGAACCCTCAAGAGGAGGCAGCTTCTACGTCCTTCTTAGCGCTGCAGCCGGTGCCGAGACACAGCTCAGCTCCAGCTCGGAGAGCTCAGCGAGCTCGGCACAGAACTTGGGTTCTCTGTGCATGAGGCCACCCCAGGTGAAGTGGTTCTAAAGAGACACCTGCTTCAGGGCCATTTTGGAACCCACGGCACACACAAGCAAGCAGACTTGGCTCCAGATGAATTATTCAGGAGGACGGAAGCATCACAGGCACGGTTACCTCTATGGTCTTGTCCCACACAGGCCGGTGACCAATAGCGTCCCAGAGAATGGCATGCTTGTCGTGCCCACAGGTCAAGAACTGAGGCTTGGATGCATGGATGGCCAGTCCCCACAGCTCATCTGTGTGGCCCTGCATGAACGAGACAGGTGGGAGTTCTCTGAGACCCTGACCAACACACCGGGACCGCCGAAGGTCCACACAGCTGGGGTAACTTTGTCATCGTCCCAATCGGCGCCTCCCCTTCCCCACCAGGTTGGTGGAGGTTGGCTCAGTGTGGGCCAGCGGAGGGTCAGCACTTGCCAGAGGGGTCAGTACCTGCTGGAGGGATCGGACACAGCACAGCATGTTGGGGTGGCAGGGAGGGAGGACAGGAGCAGGGCTCACCGTACCTGAGTGATGGGTGCAAAATCCCCAGCCAGTGTGCCCTGGAGCACGAAGTTCCTAGTTGTGCCTATCAGGATAATGTCCCCCTTTCCCTTGGCCACTGTCCGTATCGGGCCAAACTGTTCTGGAATCTGCATGAAAAAGTCACAGAAAAAGAAGACATTTAAGATGCCATTCTGTGGTTGGCTCAGTTGTTTCTTGGTACTGACGAATTCCAGGACCTGTCATGGACACCGTGGCTGGAGGACACCGTGGCTGGAGGACACTCGGGCCTTTGTATGAATAGCATGGGGTTTGCTCATAACCTAGGCATGGCCTCTCAGCCCCTGGGATCCCTTTCAGGTGGCTTAGAACACTGAACACAATGTAATGCTATGCAGGACATTGCCATGCCATGTTGTCCAGGGAATAAGAAGCCCTATGTGGGCAGCAGAAATACAACTATAAAAAAAAAGTGTTTCATCCTGAGGTTGGCTGCCTCCACAGGTGCGTCCCTTACACCTGCAGGGCTCCCACAGAGCACAGTCTCATGCCAGTGGATTTCACCACTGCCGCCTCAGGCATTCAGACCCATGGGGCTAAGGGCGAGGAAAGTGGGGTCACAGCAGAGTCCTGGAGTGGTGTCTGTTACCTCACCTCTGTTTTGTGAAGTTTCTGATAGTTTGCATTCCAAGAAATGAGCTTCCGGTCTTTGCCTCCTCCAGACACCAGGGTGCCATCTCTTAGCATACAGAGTGCAAAAATGCCGCCTTCGTGGGCACCCTGAACTGCGTAGCTTATCCGGTTGGTACCTAAACACCAGGGGGAAATCGGGACTGGCACATGATCTGAAGGCTCATCCCTGCCCATTTTCAACTCACACCTCATGCTTGTTTTTAAAGACCATGTGGCTGGGCAGGACGTCATGGGAGATGGATGTGTGAAGGACCCAATTCCTGACTGTCCACGGGGCAGCTGCGGAGCAAACCCAGGCCACGGCAGCTGATGGAAGTATGCAGCTCGCTGGGCCAAAGCCTCAGGTGCTCTGTCTGTCCACTGCCCACTTCCTGGCATGGAGCTGCTGCCCTGGAGAAGGCACCAGAGCAGAGGAGGAAGGTGACAGGTCACCCTGCCATCCTGAAATGATACTGGTGGCTCTGTCTCCATCCTTAGCTTCAGTCCATACTCTGAGACCCTGAGGACAGGGAAGGGCTATCTCCCCCTTTCTGTCATGGCCCCCAGGACACATGTGCTGAGTGGAGAGTCTCCCTAACCAACTGCCAGACTTCCTGCTCTCCGACAGAGGATGGGGGTGGTGCTTGGAGTGGACTCATGGGAAAGCTTGCGGCATCGAGCATATGCCAGCACAGGCAAATATGTGCTACGTGCCATGTGGAGCAGGAAGGGTGCCTAAGGAAATGCATTAGAGCTGCACAGCCAGTGATAACTGCACCACGTGCTGTTCTAAACTCCTGGTGCAGCCACGGAGCCCACCCCAGGCTCCAGGAGCATGTGACATTGGCCATGCCCCCTGACCATGCACCACGGAGCCCACATCATCTGGGCTGTAGGAGCCTTGTGGAGGATGTGACACCAACCACGCCCCCATGTACCACGGAGCCCACCTCCAGGACCTGGGCTGTAGGAGCCTTATGGAGGATGTGACATTGGCCACGCCCCCATGCACCAGTCTCCTGCTCATTTTGTGCTTCAAGTGACAGATGTTCATGTGACCCACGTGACCCGGCTGTCATGGTGTTCCTGCCGTGATAACACGCACGTCAGATCACCCAGAATCTTCTCGTAGTTACCTTTTCCCCACACTAGGATGTTGCCGCTCGAATCTCCAGTGATGGTGTCACCATTTTCAGAAAACGTCACACAGAGGACAAACTTTGGCTTTTCTTGTTTCTGCAGAACACAGCACACAGAGGCACGCGCCTTTATATTAAACGTATCTGAGTTGGAGCTGGAAGCCAAGCAGCCCTGTGCTGGACTAGCTTCCAAAACACCCTGGAAGCCTTTCCCGCCTTTGTCTACCATCCTATAACCCGTGCCAGGAAGTCCACGGACAGACATCCGGAAGTCTGTGGCAGAGCAGCGTGTTGGGAGGCTAGTGGGTGCTGGGTTAGGGTGGCTGCGGCCTCCGCGCTGAGTCCTGGCAAAGATGGGAGCCCCCCACCTCATACCCTGTCCCTTTCTTTTCCCTCCCTGACCGCCTTATTGACAGAGGGATTCCTCAAGCGTGTGAGAAACCCCGGGGCTCACTGTCCTCACTGCAGCCCCTACTTGTGCCAGAAAGACAGGTTAAGGCTGGGCTACCGTCGCGCTCCGAGAAAACCTCACCCACCGCCTACACCTCCCGGAGTCAGGGGAGCTTTACCTCAAACAACCCCTGCTTCTTAATGAGGGAGCCACCCTCGAGAGTCCAAAAGTAGAGGTGCGACTTCCCACAGGTAACAATGACGTTGGTGTCAGTGGGGTGGAAATCCGCGGCGAACACGGCCTCGTTGGAGCACTTCAACAGAGCACAAGAAGCAGTATCACCGAGGTGTGTGACCTGAGCTCTGCCTGCACCTCATTCAGGGCCCCTGTGCCTCCCATTGCTGTGCTCACTCACGCTGCAAGCTGGCTCCGGCCCTAGCTTTCCTTTCTTGTCTGTTCCCAAGAGCCCAGGGGCTCCTTGGAGGCCCCGCTTGGCCAACAGGCAGCAGGCCTTCTGCAGGCTCTGCATGAGGGGCCAGCCAGGAGCAGTGGGAACTTGGCACCTGCCAGTATTCGCCCTTCTGGTCCTGGGTTCCCAGCCATGATCAACCACAGGTTAAAATGTATATCTCTAAGTCTTCTCACCACACCCTTTTCCCCACTATCCACGATCAGAAACTTGAGGAAGAGGCCCAAGAATCTGCATTTTCTACAGCCTCTTTGATCCTGTCCGTTTCCCCTAAGAGTCCTTGCTGGGTGGACTTCCAGGGACTTCGCCTGTGGCCTGGTAATCCACCCCAGCTTCCACCTGTCCTTGACTGAAACCCCTTGTCAGTTCTGCAAAAACAGGAATCCTAATGATGACTAAACAGAATGGGAAAGCCTTCAGGGTCAATTTGACATTTTGTGCGAAACAGATTCCGGGGAGTAAAAGAAGTGTATGAAGATGCCCCAGGGAAGGGATGTCAGACCAGGAATGTCGCACTTGTGGCTCTTCCCCAGGTGTGTCTGCTTGGGCGAGTCCCTGCATTTGCAGCAGTGCCTCAGCACCGGTTCTGGCTCCTTTCCAGTACTCGCCCTGCAAACCCCCTGCACCTGCCCTGCACCTGCTCTACACCCACCCTGCACCTGCCCTGCACCTGCCCCCCTGTACCTGCCCTGCACCCACTCTGCACCTGCCACCCTGCACCTCCCTCCCCCTCCTTACCACACACACAACTTAGCGGCTCCTGGATAGCCAGTACCCCTCCATCCTCACCACCCACACCACCAGTGCCTCTCCACATCTGGCCGTGCAAGCCCAGAGTGAGTGAAAGAGAAAGTGAACAGACACATGGCTGAATTAAAAGGGTTGCAGCTACATGGTAAGGACAGCAAACAGGACCTTACAGACTGTGTGCAGAGAAGGGAGTACCCTGACAGGACTGGGAGGGTATGGGGCCCCAGTGCTCTAAAGGGCAGGGCTTCCGCCCATGGGAAATCAGGAGAATTGGGGGGTTGGAGGGAATGGCTCCGGGCAGGTGGGGTGAGGGCAAGACCTTCACGTCGGCTAGCCTCTCCTCCTTCTGCCAGTCCCACACGGACAGCACGTGGTCGTTGGAGTCATCCACCGCACAGAGATGGCCTCCTCCGTTCTGGAAAGCACAAGGGATGCATGGGAAGACTGTATCTGAGGGTAGAACAGGCTGAGCAGGCTCCAAAATGAGCAATGACTTAGCTTCTCAACAAGAGCGTTCAACATGGTATTTAAGGAATAGCCACCGGTGGCTTTGACTCTCACTTTTCTGTCCCACAGGAACAGCAGGTGAGCTTGGGGTAGGGGATGGGGGGGGCTCTCAATAGGCAGGGTTCATCCCTGACCTCTGGAAGGGAACCAGGGGACCAGGAGACACATGGTGCCCCAAGCCACAGGTGCACCAGGCAGTGGCAGGCTCGTTGGTATTCTCCCCCTCACCTTGAGCTCATCTTTTCCATCCCTCTGCCCCACCTGGCAGGCTCGCACTTACGGACTTGGAGAACGCGATGCAGGTGACAGCACGGTCAAAGAAGCCAACTCCAATGACGTGCAGAGTGTTCAACGTCACAGAGTCCCAGATGCGCACGTGTGGCGGCAGCTGCTGTTGGGAGAAACCCGAGGAGGAGGCGGTTGGGACAGCCACCGGCATTCACCTTTCCCTGGGGGCCACAACTTGGGCAAGAGCTTCAATTCGGTCCAAACAGCCTGTTTCCGTGATTTGGAGCTGTGTCCTTTCCCAACAGCTGTGCAAGGTCATGGGCTCTGTGGCTAAATGAGCCATCTACCCAAGTTTTGAATTTTGAAAAGCTACTTTGAAAAAGCTGTATGGCCATCCACCAAAACCAAAGGCAAATGTGAAGAACATCCCAGTAAAATGACAACAGAAGACTAAATCAATGAATAACCCATTGCTAAAATGACAGGACCAAATTACCACCCATTCATATTAACCCTGAATGTAAACGGCTTAAACTCATCAATCAAACATCATATATTAGTAGACTGGATTAGAAAAACAAAATCCATCTCTTAGTTGCCTACAGGAGAAATCTCACCAACAAATCAGCAAAAACTATATCTCATGGATCTTGATGTTCGTTTATATATATATACATTTTTAGTTTCATCTCTTCAAAACACTTTCTGATTAAATTCTTCAGTGACTCATAGATCATACAGTAGCATTATTTTCTTCAAGAAGGTTCTTGTTTGCTTTTTCATTTCTTCAGTGACACATTAGTCATTCAGCGGCATGTTATTTAACTTCACTGCGTTTTTTAACTTCTTTTCTTCCTGCTGATTTTGTTTTGTGGCTTCTCATTTCAGTGAATGTACAGTAACTGTGTCATGGAGACTGTCATATCCAGATGTGAGGATACAGTGCAGTATGCGCCTCTGCTTCCAGACAAAGATGGACTCCCAATGAAACTGTTTACTCTATTGTGACAATAGGATGCTGGACTCTCTGCCAGTGTCCATGCCCGCAATGATGGGCATGTGACTGTGTATGAAGAACTATACTATACTATACTATACTATACTATACCATACTATACTATACTATACTATACTATACCATACTATACTATACTATACTATACTATACTATACTATACCATACTATACTATACTATACCATACCATACTATACTATACTATACTATACTATACTATACTATACTATACCATACTATACTATACTATACTATACTATACTATACTATACTATACCATACTATACTATACTATACTATACTATACTATACTATACTATACTATACTATAGCATACTATACTATACTATACCATACTATACTACACTATACTATACCATACCATACTATACTATACTATACCATACCATACCATACCATACCATACCATACTATACTATACTATACTATACTATGGTTCTAATATAGGGGAACTCAGTGGGGGAGGAAGGGAACTTGGGAGGAGGATAAGGGAAATCCCAGGGCCTGTGGAAATGTATCATAAAATGATAATAAAGATACAAGCTAAAAAAATGGACAAAAATTCAAGAAAATAACACTACTCACCTTTCCGTCCTTAGACGTGCCCGCGACTTGACCCGTGGCTATCGTGATCCTATCGGGATGAACTGCGAGGCTGCAAGCAAGGGCGCAGATCAACGCCCACACTTCGAAGGTGAGCTGTATTTCTCCCTCAAGCAAACACCATTGAGCAAAACACCGACACATATGACATGAAGCTAGCGTCTTCCCAAGCCACGACGATACAACTTCCTGCTTCTCGCAATCCCCACTTCATTTCACCTCAAGCCCCTTATTTCTCCCAGAGTTTCACGTTTAAGGATGAGCAACATATAATGCTGAGAGAACACGCTTTCCATCCGAGAAGCCACTTGGCCCGCAGATGCACTAAGCCCATAATGTAGGGGCAGCAAAGACCAAACCTTTACTAGCAGGGTTTTTATCTCTTCTCCCCAAATCCCTTGCCAAAAGCTGTAACCAAATGATGAGCTTAGCAGACCCAGCCATTAACACAAGGCAAAATATATTCCTCATAACAGAAAAATAAAAGACCCAAGCTAGACGCCTTCAGCAGGTAACATGTTAAGATACCCTCCAAGGAGGCTTGTCTTGGCGCTGTCCCTGCAGGTCGTGAGCATGGAAAACCAGAGGGGAGAGTGGTCCTACGGGGCAGGGAGCTGGCAGACAGCCCAGAGAAGATGAGGAGGGCTTTTCCAACTATCCCACTTTTCTTTTCATCCTGTCCCAGCATGGACTTCCTCGTGTTCATGACTGCACCTGTGTCCTGGCCTGCTGGCATGCCAGTCCCGGGCCTTACCACTTCACATCATCGTTGTGGCCAGCGTAGTGCCTCTGCAGCTGCTCCTCCACGTTGTACAGCACCACCACAGATGCGATGAAGTACACAGTCTCCCCCGTCGGCAGCAGGTAGAGGTTATTCCGACAGTCTCGACCTCGGTACCCGTAGCTTTGTGCAAGTCAAGGTAACACTTTTCCTTTAAGAGCTAACAAGACATTAGCTTCATTCAATAGACACAAGCAGTGAGAGGCCTAGGACCCCTTGCCATGAATTTCATGAATTTAAACTACATTAAGTTGCATATTCAATGCCAAATACATCTGACCTCTTCAGCCCCGACCTGGCTTGCACCTGAGCAGTCATGTCGGAAACAGCCACTTTTTACCTGATTTTGTCCTTTTGGAAAGACTGAAATTCAGGTCAGAAATGGCAACTGCTTTTCCCCAACCTTAAAAAGTCACCCAATTCTCTGACACTAATATTTTCTGCTCAGGACACTGCCACGTAAGTATTTGGAGAGCCCCTGGTCTCTCGCCCAGGAAGGAAGCATGGGCTGCTTTGCTTCACGATCACAGGTCTTTCGAATACCTTCTTTCCTAGGATACAGTACTGGCTTCTACAGTTTGGCCACTTGCTTAAGTTAATCTTTTAAACAGTGAGAATGGCACAGGTGTTTGGCCAACCCATTATTCCACTGGATGGGAGTCCTGCGGCCAGGTTCCAGCTCTGCTCCCCACTCCGGCTTCCCGGTGCTATGCACCCTGGGAGGCAGCCGGTGATGGTTCAAGTCCTTGGTTCCGTATCATCCACGAAGGAGACCTGCACGAAGTTCCTGGCCCTCAGCTGCAGTCTGACCCATGTCAACCCTGGCTGCTGCAGGTGTCTGAGTTAGCCAGTGGACAGGGCTCTGTCTGCCCGCCCGTTTCTATCTCTCAGATCACTCAATAGCAAAATTTTTTAAAGGAGCAAAATAATTTGCTTCATAAATGTTTAAAGCACTGAAAAATTTTTAAAAGATTTATTTATTTTTATTGCAAAGCCAGATATACAGAAAGGAGGAGAAATAGAGAGGAAGATTTTCTGTCTGATGATTCACTCCTGAAATGACCACAACAGCCAGTGCTGTGTTGATCTGAAGCCTAGAGCCAGGAACCCCCTCCAGGTCTCCCACATGGGTGCAGGGTCCCAAGGCTTTGGGCCATCCTCAACTGCTTTCGCAGGCCACAAGCAGGGAGCAGGATGGGAAGTGGAGCTGCCAGGATTAGAACTGGCACCCATATGGGATCTGGACACATGCAAGGCAAGGACTTTAGCCACTAGGCCACCGCACCGAGCCTGGGACTGAAGTTTTATCATTTTGTTTTTGTTTTAAATTTTCAACATGCAGGGACTAGCATTGTGGCACAGTGGATTAACATGGAATGTCTATTTGAATCCTTGCCACTCCACTTCTGATCTAGCTCCCTGCTAAAGGGCCTGTGAAATCAACAGAGGATGGCTCAAGTGCTTGGGTCCTTGCCATGCATGTGAAAGCCCCAGATGGAATTCTGTGCTGCTGTCTTCCACTTGCCCAGTCCGGGCTGTCGTGGCCCTCTGGGGAGTGAACCAGCAGCTGGGAGATTTCTCCCTCTCCCTCTCTTTCCATCCTTCCCTCTTTATCACCTTGAAATAAAGGAAACAAATCTTTAACGTAATGGACCCTTGAAGCTGTCAGGCACTGTGAGGCCGAAGGATACACCCACTCCAGCTTGAGTCTCTTGGCCGGCAGTTCCACTTTGGCTTCCAAACTGTAGGAGTCCACTTGCTCTTTGGGCATGTACATGGTCACCGGGCGCCCGCGAAGAAACATCTTTACGTATCCTTCCTCTAGAAAAAGAACAGAGAAGTCAGCAGGATCCCTCGGTGGCTGGCACACCCTCTGTAATGAACAGGTGCACACTATCCTGGGAGAGAATAACTAGCCTAAAGTTAGTTTGAAGCAAACTGTGGCCTCCTGTTTACCTCTGGCACCCCGCTGACTGGAGGGCACCCAGTGGCGGAGAGGCAGGCAGGCTTTGGATTGCAGCAACTCCCCTCCAGGAGAGTCCATGCTCATGCTTCCTGTGCTAGCAGGAGGAGGGAAATCTAGCACCCCAAAACACTGCAACTAAGACAGGAAACCCACTTGATTTTTTTTTAATTGAATTCATTGCACAGTTTCAATAGCAAAATTCATATAGCTTTAATATTTAAGCTGACTTCTTATATCGCAATTAAAAATACATATTTCTATCTTTTAAATTGAACAAGTCTTTCAAATGTAGAGCGTAAAGTGCACATGCACCGGCTAGGATGTGCGCAAAAAGGAAAACGCTCGAGGGATGCCCAGGAATCGAGACTACAAGAACAAAGACCCAAGAGAGAGAAGCAGGCACCAACACTCTGCAAGAAACACTTCTTTAATAAAATGACTTCTGAGTTTTTCACAAACTAGAAGGACAAAATACAGTGACACATGGAGCTTCCTAAACTTGAACAAAACCAGTGTGGGGTGCTGAGCCTCGAGGCCTCGGTCTGCCAGGGCAAAGAGAGCAGCTGGTACACTCCCGTGGGTCCCTTCAAGCCCGGAGCTTGCTGAATTCCGAGGCTTCACTGTGGATCCAAGGGGCTGGCCTGAACGGGCTCTACACTGGGCACTGGGGAACAGGTGCATCTAGTCACCGCTTGACAGAGGGGACAGTGGTGAGGGACAGGTGTGAGATAAGCACAGCGCTGTGTCATATCTAAGAGTTAGTCTCATTCCTAAGGATTCTCAAACAACGCCACATGCGGTTTTGCTCACACATCAAGAGGTCAGCCCGATGGTCTGTCACTGCAGCATGCACCCCATCCTTCAAGGCATGCAGGTAACACACTCTTCACTCTGCACCTCGAGACAAGGCCACGCACACACTCATCCGGCACCTCCGGGCAGCCTCTGCTTCCTGCTAGTCTTCCTGCTACAATGTTTCTGGGGGTCGCCACTGCTCCCAGCTGCGCAGGGCTTGGTCCACCCAGGCCATCCCTGAGCCCTCCGATGGCTCCCCTGGTGCACCTGCTCCAGTATCGTGGCCAGGACCCTCAGGCCCCAAGTGGATGTCAGGGAGTCATTCCTCTACAGAAAATTCTTCTCCTCCCCCTGCCTCTCTCCCTGCCTTTCCCCCTGACTTCCCTGGCCCAGCAGGTCTAACTGCCCTGCTGGGCTCTCGCCTGACAGCCTCATCTCCCTCGCGCAGCCTGAGGAGTAGCCCTCTGCAGCCAGACTGCCTTTACCACTCCACATTGCGCCCTGTCCCTGCACCTCTACTCACACTGGCCCCTCCCCCAGCTCTGGCTCCTCAGACTGGGTGGTGGACACTGCAGAGGAGCTGTGTGGGCAGGCCAGCATCAATGGGAAGCGGGCAGGCTTCAAGCTCACAGCACGCAGGCCAGGAACTCCATCTAAGGAAGGTCATGTCCATAGCATCCACAGCGGGAGGATACAGCCAGCGGGCGGGGCGGCAGCACCACCCAAGTACCTCACAGTTGGGTGCTGGTTATCACGGCAGAGTTTTAAATTTAAAGTAAAAGGTTCCATGATTTGGTTGAAAATAAAAAAGGACTGAATTTAGCCCCGGCACCTAAAATCTAAGCAACAGCTAGGGAAAGTGGTGTCTTCACAGGCGTGTTAGAGTAATGGCAGGAACGGGGACAGGCCAGCAGCAGTGCAGGGACCACGGCAGGCAGTGGGGCGTCCAGGAGCAGAGGACAGCTCTCAGGGGCTCGCGGGGGTTCTAGAATCAAAGCTCGTCTGCGCAGAAGCGGAGGAGGACCGGGCGGGGCTCCAGGTCCCCTGGGGCTGCTGCGCTTTGCTCCTGACGCTCCGCCTACCTTTGCAGTGCGTCACGCGCCGCTTCCCTTGGGATTTCGGAGACAGAGACAGAAGGGCTAGATAAAGACACGGCAAGGACTGCGGCGTGGGTGTGGCTGGCCTGCCCGGGATGCCACCCTGGACTTGCCACCCCAGGCCTGGACACGCTCCAGGGCCCCCAGGGCGCTCCTGACTGAGCACTGGGCCTCACGTCCCATTCCCCGAACGTGAAATGAACACAACAGCGCATGCTCACACAGCACTACAACTCTTAAACCCCGATTGCATATTTAAGGAGGAAAAATGGAAAAACTAACATTTAAGTGAATTTGTGAAACTAATTCCACAGTTGCCCTGCCTTTTTTTTTTTTAATTTGTATTTCCAATGCACTTAAAAATACAGCTAATGCAGTTAAAAACAGCATCTTCCTTGCTGCGCTCTATTTGAGTAGAGCTATGGGAAGGTGGCTGAACTACTCGCGAGTGGTTTAGGATGCTGTCGGCAGAGGAAGACGAGCCCGTTTTAGAGGAAGTTAAGGAACTGGATGTATCAGAGAGTGCCCCTTTAAGAGAAACGCACACGTTAGTGGCACAAGTCCAAGAAAGGAGGGAGGAGCAACAAAGGCAAGAGAAACCTCCCCTCTCTATCTGCAGCGAGTTTCGGAAGGGGAAGGAGACGGCTGAGTTCCCTTGCCACTGCTTGGCGGGCACCTCCTTGCTGCCACCCAAGCCATCTAGCTCCATGTGCCAGCAGCAGGAGCCCTCCCCACACAGAGCTGGCCCCGGGGCCCCATCCGAGAACGCAGTTGGGCTTACCTGCACTGAACACGGGCTCCTTGGGTTTGCTGTGAAAAGAAACCAGAAACAGCAGTTAGAGCGTACCCCGGGCACAGTACTGCGCGTCACGCGTGTACAAGGAAAAGAAGCCATGTGCTCAGGAGAAAACTGTTCCAGCGAGTTATGGTAACAACTTACTCAACCTACCCACTGCCGCAAGGTGGGTGGGCTCCCCGCGTGCTACACCCCTAGTGGCAGGCAGGCGGGAAGGGAGGGCAAGACACGGAGCAGGGTCTCCATCCCCCCAGACACGTGGGGACACTGCCGCTGACCTTGGGGCCCCAGGTGCCACGCCAGGCACTCTGCACCTAGGAAATCAAAGCCCCAGTGGCTTCAAGGCCATTCCTGGGGGCAAGCACCCCACTGGAAAATCTGCCATTTGGGGAGTGAATACACATAAAGTCTGAACATTGAAAACATCTGACACTTGTAATAAGATGCCCAACCCGGCCCTACTCAGCCACACTGCTTCCCGCTTCCTCCTGTTTTACAAAGAACTAACGCGTTTCTGAGCTACTCACTCAGTAGTCTCAAATAAACAAAGAACGTTTGCATTTACATTTATTAAGATAAAAATGGCCGAGTGCCGGTGCAGCACATCGCACCACCCCTCCCCCTGCGCTGCCGCCATCCCATAAGGGCACTGGGCTGTGTCCCACATGCGCCATTTCCCACCCAGCTTCCTGCTCCATGACCTTGGAAAGCAGCATAAGAGGACCCATGGCCTTGGGAGGCCAGGAAGAAGCTCCTGGCTCCTGGCTCCTGGCTCCTGTCTTTGGACCGGCTCTGCCTTGACCACGGCAGCCGTTTGGGGAGGGAACCAGCAGATGCATCTTTATTTCTGTCTCTTCCTCTTTCCCTATAAACTATGATTTTCAAAGTAAAATAAATAAATCAAAAATAAAATAAAGGTAATTACCCTGTTCATTAAAAAGATGAATAGAGATAAGTAATACAATATGTTTGGCAAAAAAAGATGCTTGACTGGGGGCCTGGCACCATGGCATAGTGGCTAGAGTCCTTGCCTTGTACACGCTGAAATCCCCTACAGGCACCGGTTCTAATCCCAGCGGCTCCACTTCCCATCCAGCTCCCTGCTTGTGCCCTGGGAAACAGTCAAGGACGTCCCAAAGCCTTGGGACGCTGCACCCGCGTGGGAGACCTGGAGGGGGTTCATGGCTCCAGGCTTCGCATCCACGCAGCACCGGCCGTTGTGGTCACTTAGGGAGTGAATCAAAGGACGGAAGATCTTCCTTTCTGTTTCTCCTCCTTTCTGTATATCTGGCTTTGCAATAAAAATAAAATAAATCTTAAAAAAAAAAAGATGCTTGGCTGAAATCGCTTCATTTCTAGTGTAAACTATTTCCATCGGAGAGGCGGTGTTTAAACTATCTACCCATAGGTGGTGCTGTTTACTTAGTTCCTAATTGGCCGCATGTCACTATGTACTATCCCTTCATTCAAGAAATATTTGCTCCGTTTCTGTATACCAATGCCCCTGGAAAGTGCTGGAGATATAAAGAATGAGAAGTTACAAAGTGTGCACCTGTCAGTTTTGGGGCGGGCACAGGGTCGGTGGGACGATACGGGGAGGCAGGGGTGAGGTGTAAGAAAGCAGCTCTCTGGGATGAGAGGGACAGGGCGGCTCAGGCTGGGTCTTGAAGGGTGCGTAGGAGTTCACTCGATCAACCCCCAGATTCCAGACACTCTGTCACTGGGGAGGGGCGCCCTCCCCTTACTGAATGCCTCAGGATGACTGCTGAGCCTTGTGGGCCTGACACCTGCTGCTGGCAGTGGGATCTTTCTACCTACCTCCCTCCTGTTCCTCCCGCCATGCCTCTGCTGTGCTGTGTGCCTGCAGGCGCTCGGGGAGATGAGCAGGGCGGTGACACGAGGCAGGTTCCAGAAATGTCCTGAGTTTCTTGTTCCTCCTTTTTCAAGTAGGGGGAGCCTAAGTTACCCCGAGCAGCTGGTACTGCAAGTCTAGGGAGAGGTGGACGCAGAGAGGCAGCCTGTGGATGGTCACTGTGGGAGTGCAGTGGCCGAGCCAGGGACGTGATCACACAGACCAGAGCAACGGGGGTCACAGTCACGTGGGGGGTCACACCGACAGGCATGGCAGCCAGGCAGGGAGGTCGCAGGAGGCTCTGCTCCCTGGAGTACCTCCTTCCATAACCAGAACCTACAAAATCGGACGTGCTCTCGCTGGGGACAGGCACGGGGCGGGCGGAGGCCCAGGACCCCTGGACTGAGGATTGGATGCAGGCAGCCACATGGGCCCAGCCTCCAGGAGCCCAGGGCCACAGTCGGGGAAGGCCAGGGCTCCAGAGAGGCAGGCACTTAGAGCTCAGCCCCTGGGACCCCGACTGGCACAAGGGTCAGGACTGGGCACTTCAAAAGTTTGTGGGAAATGAGATTAAAAGCCAAGTTTCTTTTGGTGTGAAAACATATGGGCATTTCTGCGGGTCACAACAAAGCCCCGCTAAAGCCAGTGGAAAGGTTGTTTGTGCCAACAGACCAGCCCATCACAAGTCAGTGTCTCCTTTACAGAACCGGGGTTGCCTGGGCTCCCCAGGACTGTGGGGCAGCAGGGGTGGTGTTGAGGGGAGGGCACGGAACGGCCGTTAAAAACCGGAACGTCCCACCAGCCAGCAACAGCTAACACAAACTGTGCTGTTAATGAGCCATGTCTTTGTCCAACACCAACAGTTCTTTTTTTTTTTAATATAGAAAGATCCTCTAAAGGACTAGTATGGTGGCTATATCACACAAAACAATCCTTGCAAGATTGTTGCCGGCCCCATATTTAAATAACTACTTCATGATGATACGAATCACTATGATTGTTAATATTCATTTACAATCAATAACAACAAAAGTACAAAATGACACTGCTTCCTGGGGTTGGTGCTCTGCGGGAGTTTTCTGCACACGCTGGAGTGCACTGCTTCTTGTGGGCAAGGGCGGCTCCTTGTGCCTTTGTGCAGCAGCCAGCAGCTTCGCCCACGGTGGGGACAGGGGTGCCCTGGGGAGCCGCGACCCACAGCTGGCACCGTGCAAGCGCTCTGTGGAGGGACGACCTGCTGCCTCTGCACACCAGGGCCCATCTGGAGGCGGCCCAGAGCTGTGATGTCGGTGTGCGCTGCTCGCATGCTGAGGAGCCCCCAACGGCAAGAAAGGATTCCTCCCATAGCAGAGGCAGGCTGGGAAGCAGTGTGGCCTGCTGCTGTCTTCAGCCTCGTGAGGTTTATAATGGGTTCAATTGTCCTCAAGGATGCTGGGGGACTTGTTCCAAGACAGCCACAAATGTGTGCGACCACAATGTGAAGTCCTTTATATCACAAGGCCCACACACACACACACCCCATATACCTTAAGTCACCTCCAGGGGTGAGCATGTGGGTTAAGCTGTTACCTTTGTCCCATTTCAGAGTTCTTGGAATCAATCCAGACTGGCCCAGCCCTGGCTATTACGGGCTTTGGGGAAGTGCAACAGTGAATGGAATATTTCTCCCTCTGCCTTTCAAATACATAAGTAAAATTCAAGAAGAAATGACTATGCAAGTCGTCTGTGGACTACAATGCCCAGCATGCTGTGACTGCGATGAAAACAGTTGTGACACTGCACGATTTGAGGGATTATGATGAGAAAAGAGTGGGCACTTCACTAGCATACCAGCACAGAGGGCTCTGCTCTGCAGACAGCTTTGCCCGTGGGTGTGGAAGCCGCAGGGACGAAGGAATGGTGGTGCTTTACTTCCCTAAGTGTTGTCAGGACTGGGGCACGCCAAGGACCGTGACCTTCAGGTGGACCTAACTCAGCGTGCATCAGACCAGCAAACATGCTAGCGACTGCAGGAGTCACGGGGCACCCTCACTCCGCAGGTGAGGAACACGTAGCTCGGAGTTCAGCAAACGCACAGAGGATTTTCCTGTGCTCTGCACAGTCACTGTGCCCAGCATCACTGCGACGTCCATGCCGCACTTGCCCAGCACCGTGCTCAGGCCTTCTGGCAGCTGAGCTGGCAACTTCCAGGGAACCAGCTAAAAACAGCCCTTTGTACAGAGGAGACTGGAAGTCAGGGCTGCGGACAAGCCAGATCCTCCCAGTGCTCCTCTCTCTGCAGTCCAGCCATGCGCAGAGCTGAACACCCCCAGCTCCTGATGGAGACCGCATGGGAACGGCGAATGCCAGCCAGCCAGTGACCCGGGAAAACCACCGAACACAGGCGGCATGCAATAGAAGGAGCCCGGGGGAGAGAGGGGCCTCTCCAAAGCTTCTCCCTCACGTGCAAGTGCCTGAAACACGTTAGTGCTCCCGCAGGAAGGAGGAAAGAATAGAATAGAGGGTCCAGGCTGTGCCAGCACCAGCAACAACCTTGGCTCTGACCGTGGCTGCTTGCTGGTGACCGCTGCTAGAGGGGTCAGCACCAGCACTTCCCCTTATAAAGGCAGCCACGTTCCATGGGAACCCCAGGAGCAGGACGCCCCCGCCACCACCCCAGGTTCCAGGGAGACAAGGATTTACTCCCAAACGGAAAGACTTAGTGGCCTGCATTATTTTTAGAAAATGATTAGTGGATTTCCCTCTTCCTTATCAAAGTTTCCTACCACGGCATTTTTCACAAACCCCCTGTAAACATCCTTGATGAAGTCTTTCCCCAGCACGTTATTCAAGCTGTGAGACCGAGGAGATAACGCAGAACTGGAGTTGACACAATGCGGATTCTTTCTGGAAATTCTTAATAGAAATCAGATGTGCAGAGGAGGAGCCGTGGGTTGAAGAGCTGCCAAGATCCAGACACTTCCAAGCTCGCCCTGAATGCGGAGAAGCCCAGGGTTGTGGGCCCTGTGGCACCCACCCCCCACGCACACACTGTGCACAGGGGCACACATACACTTTGCTGCCACTGTAACTGCCTCGCCCGATTTCCAAGATATTATCACCCAATTAGCATAATCTCGTGATAAGAAGCACCCACTGCTGAAATGAGAAGCCAGAACCCACAAGCAAGGCTTTGGAAGTGTTAATTGACTAAGAACTTGACCTGCTTTGGGGAGGTGACCCGGAACCAGACCACTTCCACAAAAGGCATCTTTTAGGAGTAAAATGGAAAAAAGGAATCCCGCATAGCTGAGGGGCAGGATTTAGGGACCTGGAACTGCCACAATGCCTTGGGGGTGTCTTATGACTAAGCCTCCCCCACCCCGCCCCACCAGCACCGGGGTAGGAGCAGGTTAGAGAAAGGTGCCATGCTTAAGGCTAGAATAAAGGACCCTGCTGGGTAAAGACACACAGAGAAATGCGCCTGAGTAATACACTCAACCCTGCAACAGGCTGTTGAAGCACTGGAAGGGAGCTCTCCCATGAAGCTTTGGTAAAATGTGACTCTTGGTGGAAGGTCCGAAGTTAGAAGTTAGTGTGCGAGGAACACAGGCAAAAACCAGTACCTGACAGCACAATGGCCTTCCCCCCCACCACCCAGGGACCCCTTCACCCGGGTCACCCTAGGGGGAGGCACCCAGCTTCATCCCCACCACCCAGGGCAGGCCCCTTCACCCGGGTCACCCTAGGGGGAGGCACCCAGCTTCATCCCCACCACCCAGGGCAGGTCCCTTCACCCGGGTCACCCTAGGGGGAGGCACTCAGCCTCATCCCCACCACCCAGGGACCCCTTCACCCGGGTCACCCTAGGGAGAGGCTCCCAGCCTCATCCCCACCACCCAGGGCAGGTCCCTTCACCCGGGTCACCCTAGGGGGAGGCGCCCAGCCTCATCCCCACCACCCAGGGCAGGCCCCTTCACCCGGGTCACCCTAGGGGGAGGCGCCCAGCCAACAGCCCTGGGGGAGCAGTGTAGCCTATTCCCACCCAGGAGAGAGGGGAGGGGAAGAACTGGACCCCACCCCCTGCCAGCCCCACGATCTGAGCCCCCTCTGGCAGTGCTGCCGGCCTGGCAGGTGTCTTCTCTCCTTGACACCATGGCACTTCGCTTACCCCGGAGTGAGTGAGTGGGCATTCTCTCTCACACTGTCTGGAGAGGTGCCATACCCCATCAGACCCTCGCTGCCTGCAGCTCGCGCGTCCCATATTTGGACTTCTCGTGTGGAGACAAGAACCCAACTCACCCCCTCTACCCACCGGAGCGCCACGGGCATTTATGCCAAACCCGTGTCAATGAACCTTCTAGAACAATTCAACACGAGTGAGAGTACACCACAGAACTAGAGAGGACGCTTCACTTTAGGGACGCTAGCTCGGTATTGAAAAGCCTCTGATGAATCATAAAATGACAATTTTGTCAGGAAATACTACTGACGGGTGGAATGAAGTTCACTAGAACCCACTTTATCATGGCGTGGTGCTCCCTTGGGTTTCCCCCAGCGAAGCCCAGCTGGACGTGGTGGGGCGGCCGGCAGCATGCCGGCTCCCAGGAGCTGCCTTCCTGCACGTCGGGGCTGCAGCTGGGCCCAGAGGCTTGGGCAGCCGCTCTGGCCATGGGCTGAGGGACCCGGGGTGCCTCGCGCGCTGCTGGCTGGCCTGCAGGGAGGGCTCCATCTCCGGAAACCAGGCGCCTGCGCAGCGGTCACCGCGGCCGGAGGTGGCCTTACCTTTCACTGTTCTTCTTGCCGCTGGAGGAGCTGCTGGTGGAACCCGTGCGATTCCGGTTGCCTCTGGAATCCCCGTAGCTCTCCCGCCGGCCGCCCGGAGACACGCGCTCGGAGGAGCTAGTCCTCTTGATGGTGCTGAAAGTGGGAGGCAGACCACAAGGCAATGCTTAATGCCGCTTTAACTCCGCTGGCATGCGCATGCCCAGGACACCACACGTCCTCATGGGGTTTAAAGACTCTAAAATCCTAGCTACCGGGCAGGCGTCGAGGTATGGTGGTTAGTCCCCTGTTGGGACCCCTGAATCCTGGCCCAGAGTTTCTGGCTCCTCCACTTCTTTTATTTGTTTGTTTAAATTAATTGAAAAGGCAGATTTATGAAAAGAGACAGAGAGAAAGACCTTCCATTCACTGGCACACTCCCCAAATGGCCACAAAGGCCAGAGCTAAGTGTATCTGTTGCCAGGATGGCTCTTCCACGTCTAATCCAGCTTCCCATTAATGTGTATCTTGGGAGGCAACGGGGCATGGCTCAAGTGACTGGGGCCCCTGCCAGTCATGTGGGGGACACCTGGATTCTGTTCTTTTGGCATCCTCCTACAGGGGACCCCGGGTGGCTCTCCCACTCTTGTTCTGCCACAGAAGGACAGAAGACACAGTCTGTGCAGCCTGTACCTGGCGCCCGCTGGCAGCCTGCTCCTGGACTTTGGCCTTCCAGAACCTCAAGAGATGTTTCTGTTGATTATGAGTCCCTTGGTCACTCAATGCTGGGTGGCAGAAGCCCCAAACTGGCCAAGACCTAAGCCAGTACAGCGTCCAAACACCATCACCATCATCACCCTCAGGCCACACGTTTCTTGAGATGTCACTTCACGTCTTGTAGGACGTTTCCCCGAACTTCCTCCAGGAGCCTGGCACAATGGAGGCCTCACACGTGGGCCTGGTTACAGCCACAGCCAGGAGGAAGGGCCAGGGAGGGGGCCGTGACAGGCCAAGGGCTGGGTGGGCTGGACACATACTGGCTGAGAAGTGGGAGGGCAGAGAGATGCCAGCAGGGAGTGAGAGAGCAGTGGGCAGAGGTCGGGGAGCTGTGCAGGGCTGGCAATGGGCATGGGGTGCCAGGGAAGGCAAGGTCATTTCTGCAGCTACAAGGAGTACAGAATCCCAGGGTGGGGCAGGGAGCAAGTCCCCACAGCAGTGCACGGGAACTGAGGCACCAGGACAGCAAGACCATGGCTACCACCTGGCTTTCCGCAGCCAAGCACAAGCCCCACCCCTTCCAAGCCCCCTTCTCTTCTCTGCCCTCAGCCAGATCTTCAGTTCATTTTCTCTGTGACTTCCAGTGGGTCTACTAAGAACTCTGAAAACCACCTGGCTCTCCCAGCAAGCATGAGCAAAGACCCGAGCTCAGCCACTGGATTCGAGCACGTTCCCTGCACGGCCAGCCCAGTGACCACGGAAGTGGACCTGCAGCCCAAGGATCTTCCCTGGGCTCCTATTAGGGCAAGGAGCTGACACACCTCAGGAGAGCAGCGTGTCTGCAATGCGGAACAAAGTCCACATACTGTTTGTGCTCGAGGTCCCAGTGATGAAATACACCAGGCTCATTTCACCAGCGCCACCCGCCCTGGCGAGCAGCCAGTACCCCGTGCCCACCCAGGGCTGGGGCCCTGGGACTTCCACAGCTCTGCCTACCATGTGCCCTGGGGGCAAGTCATAGCAAGGTCATGGCTGTGGGAGGAACTGCACAGGGCATCCTTCCAGAGCTGGAAAGCCACAGCTCTTGATGGATTCCAGCAAACATGAACCGACCTTAACATCAGCTCTCGGCCTAGGGCTGGAGGTGACGGCAGTGGTCGCAACAGGAGTTCATCTGAGCCTGATGAGTGCTCCCAGAAAATACTGTTATCTTCATTTTCCAGGTAAAGTGACATGCTTAGGGACAGGAAGCAAGTGATCTGAGGCCATGGCCAGGGGTCAGGCTCATGATGTCAGCCCTTGCTCTCCTCACTGGGTCACCTAATTAAGACAATCAGCAATTTATGAAATACCCAAGAACACTAACTTGATTTGAGTATATTGAGTATGTTGTTATCATTTGATAAATGTTGATAATTAATGTGACTGTGGTGTAGGATTTGAGCAGTGGTAGGCACTGGACAATAGCTTGAAGCTACCGTATTCAAAGAGAGGCAAGGAGTGGCTGTCAAGCAGGGATGACCACTGGTATCCCACACCAGGTGGAATGCGTGCATCCCATGTAAGTGCCTGGCTTCCAATCCAGGTCTTGCTCTCAGCTCCAGGTCCCTGTTAGTGCACGCCTGGGGAGGCATGGGGTTTGGCTCAAGCAATCAGACTGCTGTTACTCCCACAGAGGCCTGGGTTGAGTTCTGGGATCCTGGCTTCATCCCAGTCCAGCCCTGGCCATTGTGCGCAACTAGGGAGTGAAGTGATGGATGGGAACTCCCAATGCATTTCAAACAGATCAACAATTTCTTTCAAAGGGTGCCGAAGCTGCTGAAGGAAATCCGAGTTCCCTCGGCACGGTGCTGCTGTGTTCAGTCAGTCAGCACTGAGAAGCCTCGCCACCCGAGGCACGCACAGGCAGGAGGCAGGCATGAGGTCACAGAGGGCAAGAAGGGATGCACTGAAGCGGCCCCATGGTTTGCGTCCAAACTTGGGGCTAATCTCTCACTGCTCCTCAACAAGTCTGTCTTTCCCATGTTTGCATAAAAATGTTAAATGAAAAAAAATTCCTATTGCTGTCTCTGGGCACTGAAGGAAAAAAAAAAAAAAGATGTTTTCTTTTGAGAGCCTGAGAGTCCTTACTAATTAAAGAGGATTTACTAAGGACTCCATCTGTGCGAAGGACAGCAAACAAAGCTCCAGGATAAGACACATGCAGCGATAGGGGCAGCCAGGCAGTCAGACCCTCCGACGAGGCTGGGCAGCCTGGGACAGCAAGTGGGGGGCTGCATAGAGGCCACTGGGGACCTCAAGAGGCTGCACAGCAGCACAGCACAGCTGAGCGCAGGAGCTGGATTTCTGGTTCAGAAACACACGGGCACCATCAGTTCTGCTTCCCCCTTCTGTTCTCTGCTCCCACACTCCAGTCTCAGACCTTCACTGTTCTGAAAATAAAGCAGGTCCTTGCATCTTGTTAGGCATGCGCCTGAGAGCTATGCATTAGAAACCCTAGCTCTGCAGCACGACATTTCAACGGGGAGTCTGCTGACCAATAGCAGCGTATCTTCTCCCGGTTAGATAACAACGTCAAGAAATGAGCATTGAGCCCTCCTTTCATCTGGTGGGCTAGAACACCCCAAAACTGGACATGCTCTCCCACTGTGCAGCCAGCCAGTCCCAGGCTCTGGGGAACTGGGAGAAAAGAGGGGTTCATCATGGAGCTGGCATGATCCCTGGTGCCCAAGTTCCTGAGGTGAGGGTGAGGGTTCTTGCAGACTGAAGGATCTGTGCCAAGTCCCTGCTGGTCCTCAGTGCTCGGGGACCTCCTCTGCCATGTTGGAATATCCTGAGCCTTAGGGAGTTACGATAATTGCAAAGTGGGTTCCAGCCAGTCTGGGGGCCAGGTGCAGGGGGTAACTACATTTTGTTCAGGATCTGGGGTCCCCAGAAAGGAAACCCTCAAGACAGGACAAAGCATCAAGATCGCACCCACAGGGGAGTGGAGTGACCTGGTGAGGCTCTTGATCTGGGGCACAGCAGGGTCGGCGGCATTGCTTATTCAGTTCAATGAGTTCATTTTGGGAATAGGTTGATTTGCTGGGTAAGGATAGTTTACGTTGAAGGCGGGAGGCTGGGAGACTGGGGCTTATACTCAACATCTCATGGAAGCTAGTGTGTGCAGAGGAGTGGTATTGATTTGGGGTCAAGGACTTGTTTTTCAAAACTTGTTTTTCAAAACTCTGGCAGAGAGATCCTACCAAAAAAAAATCCCAGAAGCCCAACTGGTTGCTCTAATGCATAATCAGAGATCTCATTCGTCATGACAGCCACTCAGCAAATACCGAGCAGATATCACCCATCCCTGTGCTCTGGGAGTCAACAGGGGCTCACAACCCAAATGGCTTTAGTCCTGCAAATTACAAGACAGATAACACCAGTGAAAGGACAGAGCACGGCAGACATCAGTAACTAAGAAATGCACTCGTCTACCACTGTCTCAAACACGTCCTTGTGCCGAGATCCAGGTCGCTTCCCAGGCTGCTGGTCTTGAAGACTCTGGGTGAATTCCAGAGGGACAGCTCCCTGGTCCTGGAGCCATGACACTTGTGTTAACAGGGCCAGTGTCCACAGGCCTTCTTGGCTGCACAGCATCAGATTCCAGCTGTAGCCGCTACCAAGAATGCCCTCGTGCCAGGGAGCCTGCATGGCGTGGATCTGAATAAAAATCACGTCGGGTCAGATCCTGTGTTTTCTGGACTTTAAACCAAATTGTGCCTGGCCCTGGCTTCGGAGCCCCTGCCGGTGCAGACCAACCGACAAGTGGAGCTATTTTTCCGAGGGGCCGCTGCGCTTGGCAAGGGCACCCCCACAGTCGTGCTTTTCGTGCTGGTTTTGTTCTTTTGGTCTCTCCCCATTGTGCTGCTCCACTTGTGTGCTGAGAGAAGGAGGATTGTCCGGCTTGGGGGCTGTGCAAATGTCCCTCTGTTGTCACAGGCAGCATCCCACTGAGCAAGGTGTGACCTACAATGTCTTCCCTGGATTTGCTGTCTTTTTTTCTTTGACGGGTGGGAACAAAGCTTTTCCAAGGACTCCAGATTGAACCTCCATCCCAAACGAAGTCTTAATTGGCAGCACAAAGCACAAGCGCTGGGTGCTGGACCGTTTCCAGGGGGGATTTTGTTCTTCAGCACCAGACTGAAAGACCCCAAGAGAAGAAAACAAACAGAGAGGCATCCACACACCCCAGACACCCCACTCATTGGGAACTCAGCACAAGAATTACCACAGAATCGAAATGACTTGGAAGTTATTTTAATCCTAATATTCAGAACTCCCGGCCTGCTGTTGTGTTTTCAAAACTCTCGAGTGGAGAGCTCTGCAGAGCCTTCCCTCTGCAAGTCACAGTGAGGTTTCCGACTTCCCATCCCCCAAAGCTCCAAAATAGAGGAAACAAAGCCAGGGTTTGGCTCTATAGATGCGTCCAGCCTGGCATCTCAGGCCCCCAGGCGGGAGGCCATGGATTCCTGGATGGCGGTGACGAGCTCGCGGGAGCTGGTTAGACCAACTGAGGACAGCGCTTTGTAAGTCTAGGGAAGCCTAGGATGCTACCGGAAGGAGATTTCCTGTTGAAAGCGCTTGTGCACACAGATAACCTGATGGCTACTGACTATAATTTTGGCTCCTTTTGCTTGCTCCTGAGAGGAACCAGGGCCCAGGTGCCTTCCCTCCAAGGGAGATGGGGCTTGGGGCAGAAGCCCCAGGCCCCTGACCACAGCACACAGCACAAGCTCTGTCTTGCAGTGCAGCCCCTGCAGTCACTGAGCACCTAGGCTCTCCAAGGACACCACAGGCTGTGGGCTGACTTCGGAGCATGGCGAGCCCCGTCAGTTACCCTGCGCCACAAAGGGACGCTCCCACAACAGACACTCCGGTGAAGGAAGGAGGGCCCTGCATGGCCGCCAAAGCCCCACAGGTGGCACCAGTGTCTCCTACGGGCTCCTGGGCGAGCCCCAGCTGCTCCACTTCCCGACCGTGGCCTGGGGGTTCTTGAGTCCCTGTAACCCATCTGGGAGACCTGGAAGAAGCTCCTGGCTCCTGGCCTTGGTCTGCCTAGCCCTTGCTGTTGGTAGCCACCTAGGAGATGAACCATAGGACAGAAGATCATGCTCTCTCTCTTGGCAACATTGCCTTACAAATAAATATCTTTTAAAAATAAATAAAATATCTGAAGACAAATGAAAAGGAAATACAATATACCCGACCTTGCAGGTCAGAGTATGCAGAACCAGAAAGGCGCTCAGCAGTGGTAAGAGCCTGCATAAGGAGAGATCTCCAATCGCCTGGCCACACCTCAGGAACCCACAGGGAGAAGAACAAATGAAACCAGAAGCTTTCAGAAGGAAATAACAAAGATTACAGCAGACAAAACGAAATCACTGGGACTAAAAACAAATAAAGCCACATGTTGAGCTTTTTAAAGAAAATGATCAACACAATTGAAAAAACCCTTAGCTAGATGCGCAAAGAAAAAACACCTGAGACTATTTAACTAGAAATGAGGGTGGATGTGGGGCAGTGGTTTAAGCCACCGCCTAGGACACCCACAGCTCTGAAATGAGTCTTTGGCTTCCCGTCCAGCACCCCAGGAGGCGGCAGAGCAAGGGCCAAGTGCTTGGGCCCTGTCCCCAAGCGGGACACCTGCAGGGAGTTCCTGGCTCTGGTGGCCAGTCCTCAGCCTGTGGACGTTCAGGGAGTGAACCAATGGCTGAAGGTCTCGCTCTTCTCTCTGCCTTTCAAATAAATTTTAAAAAGGCAAAAACTGCTGCTTTAAAATACTGAGGACTGTAACGCACCACTACGGATAATTATACAGCAACAGATTAGACAAACTAGAGGAAACAGACCAACTTCTAGAAATACATAACCTACCAAGGCTGAATGATACAGAAGCAAAAGATAGTAACAGCAGATCTACAGCAAGTAATTACTTTAAATCAATTTGTAAAACCTTCCACCAAAGGGGAAAAAAAAAGCAGGAAAAGATGACTTCACGTAACTTATACCAGGGATGCAATGGTTCAATCAGCTAACATCCTCCCCTTGCAAGCCCTGGGGTCCCATGTGCATGCTGCTTTATGTCCTGGCTGTCTGCTTCCCATCCAGTTCCCTGCCTGTGGCCTGGAAAAGCAGTGGAGGACGGCCCAAAGCCTTGGGACCCTGCACCCAGAAGAGGCTCCAGGCTCCTGGCTTCCCATCGGCACAGCTCCAGCTATTGCGGCCGCTTGGGGAGTGAATCAATGGATGGAAGATCTTCCTCTCTGTCTCTCTTCCTCTTGGTATATCTGACTCTCCAATAAAAATAAAATGGGATTTTTTTTAACAGAAAATAAATCCTAATACTCCTATGGCATCTGAAGGGATTGCAGAGTTGGAATCATCCTGGAAAAGAAGTGTGTGGCAGGAGGCCTTGGAGTCCTGGTGACAAACCACACTGCCCAGCACCAGCAAGCAAGAGGGTGTGATTCCGCGTGACAGCACGGAAGATGCAAGCCCAACGGCACAGGGCCCCGAGACAAACCGTCACATCTGTGGGCCACAGTGTTCAGAGGGGGCAAGACCATGATGAGAAAAGCAGAAACAAAAATAAAAGTAGAAATAAACAAAGGGGACTGCATCGAATTTAAAGGCTCCTGGGTGTCGCAGAAGACACGCAACAGACTGAGAAAGCGACCTGGACAAAGAGAGGAGAAGCAGAAATCACCATCTGACGAGCACTTCTCCAGAACTCAGAGGAACACCTGCAACTCAACAACAACCGGAAATGGGCGAGGGCTTAAACAGGCCTTTCTCCGAAGAAGATACTACACAAGTGGCCCCTGTGCACACGGAGATGGCATGAGGTACAGTGTGACACAACCCGAACAGACGGAAGCCGGTCCAGCTCGGCAGCCTTGGAGGACCCAGATGAATGAAAGTCACAGCTACTGCTGACCGTTGGAATTCAGATGGTCATTTACTGTGATCATGAATACAAACAATTTATACCAGAACTGACCAATAGGAAGCAAGGCCAGCAAGTGCATCTCAGGTTTGAACAACCGCCCTAAAGCAAAATTCCCTAGAGCCATAAATGGTGAATCCATAAACCTCTTACCTGGTGAAGCGCAGTGAAGGATAGACTTGGTGAAGGGTAGACTCTTCCGAATAAATGCTGAACATATTTAAAATACGCTGGGAATTTGTTTGATGTGGTGACTAACTCTGCACCTATTTTTAGGCCTGACAAAAGTGGTGTCAAAGCCAGCTGCAGCCCTCGCCTCTGGCCTGGTTCAATCTTCCCCATGCACTATGGCCATGCCTACTCCTCGGCCCGTGGATCCTGAGCCCCGCACACCACCCAGCTGCCCAGAGGGAACCTCACGGTTAATGACAGAATCACACCGAAGAGTTTCCTACCTTGGCCGTGTTTGCTTCGAATCAGTCAATGCACAGCCACCTTGGGACCACCCAAGCAACAGCACCCAGGGCCCCTCCAGTCCTCTCCTTTCTGCTCACTCTCCACCTGCTGCTCTTCTCTGTGGGATCCAGAGGTGGGAAGAAGTTCTGTGCTGGCCTGTGCCTTGCCCAGTGGTCTCCTCTGCATCTTACCTGACCCACGCACCTGTGCCCACTCTCCTCTTGCCATGGCGCCTAGAGACTGTGGTCAGAACAAACCGGTACAGGTTAGACCAGAACCACAGTATGTGCCAGTATTAGCCAGCGTCCTGGGGATGACACAGGAGGGACACCTGGGTGTTGGGCTGACTGCCCAGATAAAGAAATGCCGTGTACCACCTCAAACATACCCAGTGGGCAGGGCTGCAGCTGGTGGTGGCGTTCCAGAGAGGGAACCCAAGACCAAAGCAGAGGAAAAATGCCACAGCAGAGAAAGGTGTGGTGGCTGGATGCTATACCAACCCTGGGAAGAGCAGTAACCCCTGAGCCCTGTGGGCTCTTCTGCACACACAGCCGGCCTTCCCAACACACAGATGGTGGGCAGCGTCTCGACCCCACAGGGCCTGCCGTGTTCTTTAACCAGCTCCTGAGGAGCAGCTGTAGAGTTTCCTTAAGACTCTTGGGGTTCCCATTTTCCAGTGCCTAAACCCTTAGTGGCTATAAAACATAAACATGCCAATAGAACAACTGGGAAACCCACTGAGAAGTGAAGCGTTTGCTACCTAAGCTTTGTCCACTGCACAACAGCAGCACCCAGAACTCCACTGCAAAGTACAGCTTAACTCTGAAACAGCACAAGGCGCTTGGAGCCCAGGAGATTTCAAAGGCAACACAGAAGCATAACAAATGAATATAGCTCCCAGCATGGCAACATAGCAATGTGGGACTTTAGCAAGCTTTCACGCAGATTAAAAACCAGGAGAGGTCAGGTAAGCAGGCAATGCTTCCTGCACAGTCAGTCGCAGAGGGCTGTCTGTAGGCTCTTCCCTCGGCCCACCTTTTGGTTGCTGGCACAGCGGGGTCCTTCCTGGCGCCCGAGGGTGACGGCAGGGAGCCACTTGGTTTCTTTGGTAGCACAGCACCATTGTTGATGGTGGTTCTGAGAGGCAGGGTCTGCACCAGCGGTCTGGCTGTAAGGCAAGCAGAACAGGTCATCAGAACTCTTCCCTGGGTCAAGGTCAGCATAGCCGCACTGCAGAAGAGGGCACTGACTCACATGGGAGCAGAATTGACTCAGAAGACAAGCAGCTCAGGGTGGCAGGGCCAGCGTTCACCCATTGGTGCCTGTGCAGTGAGGTGAACCAAAGGCAAGGAAGGTACTGGCTGTGATGCCCACAGCCCATACAGGCAGTGCAGAGGGCCAAGTCCCACCTGCCCCTTCTGATCCAGCACTGCTAAGGCACACCCCCAGGAGGCAGCAGGCGATGGTCCATGTATGCGACAGACCCACACGGAGTTCCCGGTCCCCGACTTGGCCTGGCCTAGACTTGGTATGTGCAGGCATTTGGGGAGTGAACTGGCAAATGGAAGGTCCAGTTCCCTCCAGCCTTTTCAACCAAATAAAAAATTTAAAAGACTTTTTAAAAAGCAAAATCACATCTCATTGAACATATAATCGATGTAATGGTTCATATATATATTACTTCATTATTATTATTATTATCATTATCATTTTATAATACAATTCCATAGGCCCTAGGATTTCTCTTCCCCCTCCTTAAGTCTCCCCCACCACTGAGTTTCCCTATATTATTACTATAATATAGTTCTTCATAAACAGTCACATGTCCATCATTGCAGGCATGGACAATGGCAGAGGGTCCAGCATCCTGTTGTCAAGATACAGTAAACAGTCTCATTGGGAGTCCATCTTTGATCTGGAAGTAGAGATGCATACTGTATTGTATCCTCATATAGGCCTAACAAACAATACAAAGCTGTGAAAATTCTACAAGGAAACTTCCTTGGTTTGGGTGATGAGTTCTCACTTAATAGCTTGGACTTCATTGAAATGTTCAGAAAGCTGTGAAAGGCATTTAGGAGGGAGAAGACACCAGTCCTGGACTGGAAGATGCTGTGACCCACACCCCTGACTTCTGCGTAGAGAACTCTTAACGTGCAATCGTAAGCAATCAAAGGGCAAAGGATCTGGAAAAGACATGTGAAAAGATGCAGTCGTTTATCGTTACAGAAAGGCCAATGAAAGCATTAATTAGGTGCCTTTTAGAATGTCTCAAGTCCAAAAATCAGACAAAATCCCCATTGCTGGCCGGCACCAGCTCTCACTCACAGATCCCTTTGGAAGATGGAGTAGAGGTAGGGATTTCCTAAGAAGCTAAAGGCTGTCTTCCCAGGCAATCTGGGACGCATGGTGATGTCAGTTAATCTGAACAAGCACATCTCCTGGCCTGCATGCCAGTCTTAGTGCAGCCTCCTCCTTAACTCTACAAACTACACAGCCACGAGGTCCTTCCACAGGTGACTGGGCAAACAAAATCACCCACGCAATGGAACACAAGTCCGTGATGAGGGCGGCAGCAATCCACACACCTCCATAGAGGCAACATGAGCCAATATCTGCAGCAGCTGCTGGCCAGCCCACTCTGAGTTCTGAAGTTCAGTGCGTGGCAGGTGGTAGCACGTGGCAGCAGCTGGCAGCAGGGCCAACGCTCAGGCCAAGGGCCCCAGCCTTGGACTGGCAGGGCTGACTCGCCTGCTTGCCTCTCCACAGGAGCTTTGGGTTATATTAATTATTGGATGCATTAATTAATGAGGTTATTAATTAATTAACACAGTTCCCTGACAGGAACCAAGGGATCTACAAGTTGATGAAACTGATTTTAAAATTTTGCAAGGGGGAACGTTAAAGTCTCTAAAAGCAATGTGCCTAACAATCAGAGAAACAGAAATGACTGGGTGTGTGATGAGGGACGCAAAACCTGCTCCCGTATACAGGCAGCGAGCGCCTTGTTTTAACCAACGTTGGACATTGGAGGGCCAGGCCTAGAATGGGACTCAGCTGTGCACGATAAATTTCAAGATTTTTAAAAAGATTTATTTATTTTTATTGGAAAGGCAGGTTTACAAAAATATGGAGAGAGAAAGAGCCGGCCCAGCCCCCAGCTCACGAGGGCCTGAAGGGGAAACCACGGATGCAGCTCTTGCTCCTTTTCTCTATCTGCCTTTCAAACAGCTAAAACAGCTACAGTAAAACAACATACACCTCCATAAATCATGCGATTCCCTCTTCTCCACCAAGTGCTAATTTTTGTTTGGCAGATGTGAAACCTTCCAGATCTTTCTACCTGAGTCAGTTCAGCCAGAACCTGGACAACTGTACAGGCTGAGGTGCCATCTCCATGGTTCAGAAGGATGGTCGGCAATCAGTGTGCACCAAAAAGACAGGAAAAGCTCTATGGGGCAGCTTAGGTGGAGGCTGGGCAATTTCTTTTATTTTTTTTTTTAAAGATTTATTTTTATTATTTTTTCATTGGAAAGGCGGATATACAGAGAGAGGAGAGACAGAGAGGAAGATCTTCCGTCCGATGATTCACTCCCCAAGTGAGCCGCAACGGGCCGATACTATGCCGATCCGAAGCCAGGAGCCTCTTCCGGGTCTCCCACGCGGGTGCAGGTTCCCAAAGCTTTGGGCTGTCCTCGACTGCTTTCCCAGGCCACAGGCAGGGAGCTGGAAGGGAAGCGGGGCTGCCGGGATTAGAACCGGCGCCCATATGGGATCCCGGGCGTTCAAGGCGAGGACCTTAACCACTTGCGCCACCGCGCCGGGCCCGAGGCTGGGCAATTTCTAAAACCCATGGTGATGCCCCTGGGCAAAGAGGAGTCAGATAATCAGGCTGAACGGCCAGGTCCAGGGACAGCCAGAGCCTCCGCGTCACATCCACAGGGACTGGCCAGTCCTTCCCCGACCACAGAGCCTTAAAATGGGAAACAGAGTGATTTTCATAAACCTGCCATTCCCATTGTGATACTATGAGTAAAGTCAGAGAGAGAATGACAAGGAGAACAAAGCTTAGAAGTCACAAGAACTTTCTGGGACTAAGCCTGGTGGGAGGAAGGGGTGAGGACCACAAGCTGGGGCCTCGTGGCAGTAGAGATGCATACTGTTAACACCTGAGTGCCACCTGCCTTCTAGCCACTGGGCCAGTCCCCCTTCGGGGGATACCTGAAGGGAGCCTGTCGGTGGCACAGCTTGGCACACAGCATGGAGCACACACCTGCAGCTGCAAACGCGGAGCCTACCCTTGGGGGTAAGAACCACTTACTATTTACAAATTAAAATCCCTTGTGTCCAGTCTACTTCCAGGCTATATCAAGACAGCAGGCTTAAATAGAGAAAGGTGTCAGGGACGGCAACTGTCTAAAAATACACAAGTTTTGAAAGTTAGAAGCTTTATATAAAGCAGCTACTTCAAACACACCGTTTAGGATACAGGAGTCATCCAGTTTATTTTTGGAAAGCTGAGTGGGTCAAGAATACCTCAAATAACCTGGTTTCTATTTAAATATCCTAATCACTTAAAACTTGAAAGGAGAAAAAAGACAACTTGAAAAGATTACTCAAAGTACAGACATCAGCCCAGTGTGTGTTTGTCACACGGAGCTGGTGCTAACCATAAGAAGCCAATTTCTGCCCACAGTTATGTGAAAATGCAGCCAGAGCCGGAGATAAAATGAAAAGGTGTGACGTCAGCTCTGTCTCTCGGTGCCGAGGAGAGCACGTTAGCTGTGAAACAACTTCTTATATCCAAACAAAAGAAAGGTATTTCTTTTTATTGTTGACTTATTTGGAAGGCAGGGACAAAGGAAGATGACAGAGAGCCATCTTTTACTCCCAGGTTCCACTCCCTAAAGGCCCACACTAGCAGGGACTGGGCCAGGCTGAAGCCAGGAGCTGGAAGCTGCAGCCCTGTGCTGCAGGTAGAAGGCAGTGACCCAAGTCCTTGAGCCTTTGCCCGCTGCCTCCCTGGAGCACGAGCTGGAAGCTGGGGTCCGGGCTGGCGCTGGGAGGTGGGATGCAGGGGTCTGAACAGTCCGGGATCCCATATGGGCGCCGGTTCTAATCCCGGCAGCCCCACTTCCCTTCCAGCTCCCTGCCTGTGGCCCGGGAAGGCAGTCGAGGACAGCCCAAAGCTTTGGGACCCTGCACCCTCGTGGGAGACCCGGAAGAGGCTCCTGGCTTCGGATCAGCATAGTATCGACCGTTGCGCTCACTTGGGGAGTGAATCATCGGACGGAAGATCTTCCTCGCTGTCTCTCCTCTCTGTATATCTGCCTTTCCAATAAAAACATAATGAAAATAAATCTTAAAAAAAAAAAAAAGGAGGCCAGAGGCTGCTTTTGGGTCTCCCACCTGTGTGGCAGGCACATCAGCAGGCAGCTGTATCAGAAGTGGAACAACGGGGAGTTGAACTTGTGCGCACCTGGGATGCTGGCGTCACAGGTAGCAGCTTAATACACATGCCACAACACTGGTGTCAAGGGAAAAAGAGTTCCCACGGGTGTTTTATTTCCCAAACTGAAGGGGCTGCTTCCTTCCATCTCACATCCAGCCAGGACTGAAAACCACCAGTGATGACAAGGAGCAGGTCCCAGGGGCACAGCCTGAGGGACAAGTCCTGAGGGGCAGATCACGCAGTGTCCTCCAGAAAGCTGACAACTCTCAAAGGAAGCAGAAATGTCCCCCAGGGCTGGAGGAGGCAGGAGTTAATGAGAGCCCGGTGCACACCAGCAGCAGCTGAGGTCACAGTGGCCAGGGAGTCCAGGAGCTCTCTCCACCTCCAGAGAGGCTTTCTAGAGAGAAAATATGCCCACCGCTTCACTCCCCAAATGCCTGCAATAGCTATGGCTGGGCCGGGCTAGAGCCAGGAGCTGGGGACTTGCTCCAGGTCCTGCCTATGGCAGGCAGGGACCCAGCTCCTGGAGCAGCCCCCATCTCCTCCCAAGCTGGACTTGAACGCTAAGGTGGGCTGCAGGCATCCAAACTGGGCTTTCACCGCCAGGCCAAACACCCATGCCCGCCCCAGAGAATCCTGATAAGCAGGGACTCAGCAGGCAGTGTGGACGGTTCCTGCCCTGTCCGCACGGTCACCCAAGGATCACGTCCAGATGCACAGGCCAGGGCTTCCTGATCACCAACACCACAGCGCTCAAGGCCTCGGCCAGCACCAGGGTGGCTTTCCTGATTCTGACTTCGAAGCTGGCCAGGAACCACTCCCCAGTGGTGCCCACACCCCGCTCACCTTTGGTCGGTCCTTTGCGGTTCAGCACGGCCTGCTGCTCCTCTGTGATGTTCAGCCGCCGCACCACGTCGGCCAGAGCCGACTTGAGCAGCTGGATGTCATCTTCCTGCATCTGCACGCGCTGCTCCAGGGAGGCGATGCGGTCTGTCACCTCCATGCTGCTGGCTGCCGACGCGCTGTCATCTAGACGGAAGGAGAGGGTCAGGTGAGTGTCAGCTGCTCCCAGCGGAGTTGAGTGTGCAAACACAGACCAGCCAGTGGCTTTAACACATGGGAGGTGGGGTTCCCTATGCCCCCGAAAGCACACAGAAGTCAACCCGTCAGCCACGTAGAGCCATGACTCATAGCCCTCCTGTAATTTTTGCATTCGCTATGTCGTGCTTTTCATTTTTAAACTCGGCTTGGATGACTACTATATCTCTCTGCATGCAAGCCAACTTGTTTTCAACCTCAGAGGAGAAGGGATGTGAGGCTAGGACTGCCGCAGCTCCCTGCACGCTGCAGGAATCCACTGTGTGTGGTCCTCTGCTTCACCCCCAACAATGCTAACCACAGTGGACTCGTGATGGCAGCACCACCTGTAAGCCAAATGCTGCAGGATGCAGCAGCGTGGTTCTTGCTCCCTACCGGGCTGCCACGAACCTGCAAACACAACGGAATAAGCGCAGCACAAAGGCGAGTCTGTCGGGCCTGCAGAGGACCTACAACACAATGACTGGGAGGAACTGGACAGAGAAGGGGAGCCTCCATGCGGACTCAAGGAGCAGCTCACAGCCATCCTGCAGTGCAGCGCCCATGGCACAGGGAGGAGAGCAGGCAGGGAACCAGACGAGCGAGCTGCCTGTCCGTGGCTTTTGCCCTGGGCCAAGGGGCAAACAGAGAGGTGGTGATGGCACCCGTGGGTAATCCTGAAGTATCTACAAGGGAACCGTAAAATCGAGGCACCCCAGCTAAATGCAGATCAACGCCCGCCCAGCCCTAGTGCAGCACTTGAGGAGTGAAGCTGTGGACAGAAGAACGTTTGCCTCTGTGTCTCTGCCATCCTATCTTTTCAGCAAATAAAAATATTCCCAAAAAATCCAATTCCGCATTATCTATGAGACAGACTTTAAATACAAAGAATATATATGTATACACATATATACATATATGTATATATATACATGATATATGTTTACAGATAGTAAATATAAGAGGAAAGAGTGCCAATATTAGTATCAAATAAAAATAGATATATTACTAGAGTGAAAGATGGTCATTTCATAATGACAAATATAAGCAACCAGGGAAACGTGACATTCATAAACATGTATATGTCCAAAACTAAAGCTTTAAAATGCATGAAGCAAACTTTAAAGTAGTGTGAGAAACAGACATCTCACATTTTTTCTAAAGATTTTAGACTCCTTTCTCAGTAACTGATGGAACAACCAATAATGAAAAAGAAAAAAAAGGACACAGAAAGATTGGAACAACACTGTCAGCCATGTTGACTTACGTTTACATAAAAGCGATTCACAATGTGAGAGCACTTGGTACATTTGCCAGAATGTCATATATTCTGGCCATAAAATAGATCTGAAAATATGAAATCATTTTAAAAGTACATACTTGGACTACAAGAGTATCAGAAATAAACCAGAAATGTTTGGAAATTGAACACACTCTCTGAAGTAATGATTACGTCAAGGAAGACATCACCGGAAACGCTAAAAAAACACTCTTACTTGAGTGATAGTAAAAACACATCACACCAAATGTGTGGGATGCAGGTAAAGTAGCACTGTGAGGAAGAGTCATAACCTTTTACAAATCCCCATACTCTACAAAGAGCACTCAAACCTCATAAGGCAGCGATCATCTCACCCCTAAACCCCTCAGCGCATGGCACAGCAAATACTTGGTGAACTGCATCAACGGGGCAGTGAGCGTCTCTGCTGAAGCCTGTACCAGTGGGTTGCTAGGGATACAGCAACCTCTGCTGAAGGAAGACACCTGTCCACAGACGTCTAAACCAACTGGGCACGCGCTCTGGTTGAGAAGCATACGCAGAAGTATACATGGATAGAAGGATAGTAAGTGCATTTGAAAATTAGCATTAAACCCAAGGCTCTGAGGATGTTTTAAAAATGTGTTCCCACTTGGGAAAAAAGAGCAGCATTCTATGCAAATAAAACGTTTCCAGCCTTTCTATCCTTTTCCATCCCTCCGTGCTGACCTTTGAAACCCAGTCAGAAGGCAGAGCTGTTCCTGCAGCCAGCAGCATAAGCAGAGGGCAGCCGGCGGTGAGGGGGCCCTGAGTGTTTCCTGTGGCTGCTGGCATGTCAGCGCAGAGCACGACTTGCCAAGGGAGACTGCCTGCTCCCTGAGTTCTGAGAGGTTACCATTTAATTCTGTGTCCTAGATGGATACCTGATAAAACTGCATAAACCAGGCTAATTATATCGCCAATTTCGCACAGGACAAAGTCTGCTTTTAATATTTTATCCCTCACCCCATCCAGCAAGAAAAACCCCAAACCAACACAGCATCTACAAGTGCTTGACAGCTGAGACTTCTGGTTCCACAGGTAATGGCAAGCATGGGACGACCAGGCATGCTGGCAGCAGTGTGGGCTGTGTGACATTCTTACCCTGTGTTCAGAAATGGCCTTTACACTTGGGTCTGGCTAGGAAAGCCTGATTAGCATAACACAAAACAAGCCCTGGTTTCAGCAGCACAAGCCGTTTCCCATGTCCAAGCCGTCATTCCACAGGATGCCATGGCGCAGGCTGGGAAATTTCATCTGGCTGCTCTCAAAGGAAACCTCGTTAGACCCAGCACACGGCGCAAGTTAGAATCTGAGGTCGTTTCTAAAGCTTACCTGTGGAGGTCACCAAAGCCGTCGACACATCCTTGAGAGGTTTCATGTGTTAGTAGATCTGGTAGATTCCCCCCTCGAGAGCATTAGAAGGCCTGGAAAAGGCACCATCCTCCACGCATTTAACCCCTGGGGTTTTTCCAACTTCTGCAGGAACCGGAGCTGCTGGCCAGGGCAGAGCCTCCACCCGTTTCCTCAGGGGGCACCTGGGATTTGTGTACAAGGGCAGTGCGTGACCACAGCTGTGGGAGCAGCTACCTCAGTAGCAGGTGGCTGTTTGATAGTGGTCACGGCATACGTGCTGGCACCAGGGAAAACACAGACACAGTTTCATTGGAGTGAACCTGTGCCCAGCAGGGCGCAGTCCCAAGGCAGGTGTGCCGACCAGGGAAGGGTCCAAACGCTGCCCTGCGTCCTCAGCCAGCACAAAGCACGGCACTGCACGTCCCGGCCTCCAGCACACTTTTGTCAAGAGGCAGACACCGATGCCCAGCAAAGCCTTCTGGGTGAGCTGGAAGTGACTGCTCTGAGCGCCGGGGACCAGGGCAACAGGACACCATGGAGAGGACACTGACTCAGGACTCAGCTGGGCTGGGTTTGACCCCAGCCAATGGCTCGAGCACTCCAGCCTATCGGCGTCTGCTTCTGAGCTTCCTGTGAGTGTGAATGTTAACATATGCACAACGCTGCCCATGAAGGTATCTACAGACACTAGACAGAGCAGGCCAGCACTGCTACAGCTCATTGCTGTCAACATTATTCATAACAGCCAAAAGCAAAGGCTGGCCTTCAGGAACGATCAAAATGAACAATAGCTGTTCTTCAAAGTTCTTTTCAAAATTTATTTATTTCCACTTTAATTGAAATAGACAGGTAGAAATAGTTTATTCAGTGGTTCACGTACTGTCCCCCAACCCTCACAACAACCAGACCTGGGCCAGACTCCCACATGAGTGACAGGGACCCAAGGGCTTGAGCCATCTCCTGCCCCCTCCCTGGGCACACAGCAGCAGAAAGCTGGGTCAAAAGTGGTGTGGCGTGAAGTGCAGCTGTCATCTTAAAGGCTTTCCTGGTGGCTGTGGGCTTCCGGTCCAAAAGGTGGGTGAGCTGTGCTTCTCTCCATGCATCTATCTCATGACTTGGAGACAACAGCTCTGCCAATCGCCTGGAAATAGAGGTCAAAGGGGCCCCTGACATTCTAGAAGCTTCCCCTCCTATCTGTTCTTCATCCTGAGATGATCTTACTTTCTCTTCCTTGCTTCTTTGAAGAGCAATCTTTGCAGCGCATAATCCAGTGCATTCCACACTCCTCCCCTTGGGAAAAGGAGAAAAAAGCCCCCGTGTTTTAGTATTTTGGAGCCAATCACACGAGCACAGCTCAGCAGCTGGCAGAGGAACCTCTCGTGTAATTGCTGGCTTGCCCTACCTACCATGCGTTGTTGGCAGAAAATGTGGGTGATACGTTGCACTGCTAGATCGCGTTCTGTTGGCATCCCACAGTTGTGAAGCAAAACAGCACACCCGCTCCAGCTGTTGGGCCCGAGTTTCAGCTGTCCCCGCAGGCGGATCCAAAAATCCAGTCCTGGTGAGCTGTAAGCTATCGATCTGACTGGCAACTGGACACCTGCCCAGTTGAACAGCTCTAGCCTCCTGGACACTCTAAGATGCCAGCCCCCATGAGTGATGGGGCCAGGGAGGAGTCCTGAGCTTGATTCTGCCAGAGCCCAGGGTCAGACCTGCCCCTGCAGTTCTGGCTCTGAAATCTGCTGCTCGGCAGAAAATCACAGGCAGTGTCCATCTCTCCAAACGCCTACGCAGAAGCTCCTGGGGTAACACTGGCATCATTGGCAGGGCAAGAATCCCACAGCTATCTCTGAAAGACACAAAAATGCCACTGCGGCCAACGATGACAAGCATGTCAAGCCAGCAAGCGGTGGAGTTTTGAGTTAAGGAACTCTTGGTATGATTTAGCAAGATACAACCAGGCTGGGAAGACCTACCATGGGCAACAAGGTGAACAGTGGGATCCTGCCCATCTCAGAGCCATCAGTCCAGCAAGGAGGTCAGCCAGCAAATGACCAAGGCAGAAATATACAAACACAGGTGGGTGAGCAAATAAGCAGTCCCACCCCACTCTAACAAAGTCACCCAAGGCACCAGCGTGGCAAGCGGCCTGGCTCTAAGCTCAGGAGTGGGAAGAGCAAGAGGAGCGGGGGAGAACCATCGCCCCCAGACCAGGCGTGGCCGTCTCCAGCTGAGACCCTGGGACACTGGACCGCTTCTTCAACTCTACTCTGATTCCAGCTTGTCTACCCACAGTCAT